GTGGAATTTTATTTTTGGAAGGATGTTTGGAAGGCTTTTGACAGTTGACCTTTACTTTCACATGCGTTAAGTGTTGCCATTGAAATTAATGACAAAGTAATGTCAGTCAAATGGATAGACAGGCCGAGACAATCGGACAGCTTAGACAAGCCTCCATCGCCGGAGTGCAGAGCGGGAAGGAAATAAGCCAGGGAAGAACCATCAATTCCAGGACCCAAAAGCCCAGAGCCCGCTTCTAGGCAACCGGCAGAATCCATCCATCCATCCATCTGGATCCATCCCTTGTCATGTCATCGTTGTTGCTTCTCCTGTAACTGTAACTGTATCTGTATCTGTATCTGTATATGTGGCTATACCATCCTAGTCCTTAAATCAGCTATGCGACCGTGATCCTGCCCCTTCTCACTCACCTTCTGTTTTGTGGCAGAGACCTTTGCAGCCTTCGCATAGGAAAATTTTAGCTCATTGACGTTTTGCGCCGCCTGTCGCTGTCGCTTTGAATAAATAACCAAAGTAACGCTACAAACACATTATCCAGCAGAACGTACATCGCAGACAGCAGCATATACATACCTGCCTTCCATCCAGTTACAATACAATCAACTGACGGAAGAGCGTTTACCTGAAGGATACCCCGAAACCATCCCACGTCCCCAGTCCCCACACCCAGCCCCGTCGTCATGTTTGACAGTCTAATCGTCTGCCGGACTCCCTCACGCTTTGGCATTTGGCAGCAGCATCCTGGAGGGATGCTCTTCATTCACCACCCCCGACCCAACCAACCGTGCCCCAGTATTTATGCAAAAATTGCCTGCCGCCAAGAGCCCTCCCTCGCCATCCTTCTGGGCTCGTCTTGTGTGCCACACTGTCTCTAACTCTGCCTCTGGAAATAGACTTGGCTGCCAGGCTGGCACAGTGAATAGGAAACGGAAAAATATGGGTAAAAAGATGGAAAGTATTGGAAATTGTATTCTTGATTCTACTTAAATAGCTAAACAGTTAATATATTATATGTATGTATTTAATTATGGTAACGTAGTACCAAGAAGGCAAGATGCAGGCTCTATTTTATACCCTTTACAACAAATTTGCTAAAACACAAACGTAAAATTTTAAATTTTCAATAAAATGATCTATATTGATCTGTACCTTCGAAAAACATTTAAACACGTTTACGATTGGTTTTAACCCTCCTTGTCAAAATTCCGGTATTAGGTTAAGTTTCAGCTGAGACCCGATAGATTAGATTTGGGACCCAGACTGCTTGGAAAACCTTTTCGGCTTGTATAAAGGAAACATTCCCAACAGGCAAATCCAGAACAAAAAGAGTCTTAATGCTGTTTTTAGGGCTTTCGACACCCAAAGACAACAATGTTTTTGCGTTATGCAGCACCATTATGTGATTAACATCAATTAATTTATATATATTTATTTATTTTATAATTACATACAGCTGTATGTACCCTTTGTCAGTAAGGGTAGAAATCGGCCCGTAGAAATGTCATACTGATTTTCCCAAAAGAGATTCCTAGCTTAATATTCTCTTTAAAAATACTTTTACATAAGTAACTGATTTATTTTAAGGAGGAAGTACGTAGGATACTTAGATACTTAGTATTTCTTTTGCGTATGACTGTCTTTAAAAGGCGCTCGCCCCACGATTGTTTGGCAAGTATTATTTAATTTTCCAAAATGTTGTTTTATTTATCCTATTAAAACAAATATAAATGGTAACACAGGAAGCGAGTTCCGCAATTACTATTTATACCCCAGCATACGGCACTCTTTATTTTTTTGGCAACCTATTTACAAATTGATCATTTTCGCACCACTGTGCGCATTAACTAACTACCTACAATGACTTCCTGCCACCACGTCGACAACTCACACACACACAGACGCAGGCTCGCAGGACTCCCGGCATTTGACGTATGCTCGGGGGAGAGAAAGAGAGCAGGGATCAAATTGCGAAAGTGAGTTATTGAAACTGTTTCAACTCATAAATAAATAATTACAGGCATCGCAGAATGCCGGTGCAGAAAATGTGCTCTCCTTGTCTAATGCTGTTTGCTAATGTTTTCCCAACCTTGCCCAGTCCATGCCCCTGAAAGCCCTGAAACCGCAATCGCACAAATAAACGGCTTCCTGTTCTCCAGAGAAGGTGGCGGAGGGTATGCACCTGTCCCCGTTAAACACGTGGCCTGGGCTAAGTCTTCAATGGGTTTTAGTTATTTGTTTTCCCAACGCCGGTCATCTGGGCTCCAACATTTCCATTAAGGGAGCCCTCCCTCTCTCCGTGGGTCTGACCAGTGACCAGTGAGCAGTGGCAACACTTGAAGCAAGGTAATAGATACTTAAATAGTAATTTAGTAGCTGTTCCTAGCCGCATGGATGGACATATGAGATTTTACGCCGATTTTGTTAACAGTTCTCTCTGGGCTCCGTCATTGCCACTGTTTATTCTGCAGACTTCAATTACTCCACTCTTGCTTGCCTTATCGGGCATTCTATCTGGTGTGTGTTGGCTTTACATATCCTTACGGGTACCGAGCGCGGAGTGTGGAGTGTGGAGTGTGGAGCGTGGAAAGGAGTTCTTTGGGTCGGGTCATGTTTCATGCAGGAGACAATCTATATGGTATAAGCTTCCGTTCCGGAAGGTTTACATAACACCGCCTCTGGTCGTAACAATTCCTCCCCTCCCTCCAACCGGATTTGTTTGTGGCTGTTGATACGCTACTACTACTACATGGGCTGTGGTCCACGTAATAGCTGATTTGCCTGTAAGATAGCTCCTACTAACTATTGAATGTTACGGCTTATTGTTCTTTGCCAGGTCAGGGGAGTTCGGGGAGATCACGGCTTAGCAAGAATGTTGTTAGGCCGACTAGTTGTTAGCCACCTTCCACCTGGTGTTGGTGTGTTGCCGGCAGATATGGCCGATACATGTGTTACAGCGATTAAGAGCACACCGTTAATAACTTTGACTTACTAACGGACTCGCTGGCCTTGGGCGAAAGGAAGTTGGCGTCCAAGGACACTTGTTTACATGTGTAAATTGCTACAGCATTCCAGCCTCGAGTTAAATAACAAATCGATTTTAGGTTACATTAATTGAACATTAGAAAGGGTTCTCTTGTATGGTTCTTTTAATTTTTAGTTTCACTTTTAACATAAAATTTAAAAAGGTAATCCCACCTGAGAAGGGACACACTTCAAGCCCAAGTTCATGTTCTGGAGTACTTATAAACTTTCTAATATCTACTTCCTGCGACAAACACTTACCGTCTTGTTAAGCCACAGGCGTTTAGGCCTTGTTTGCGTGCTCAGTTGCTCAGACTATATATAATACATTCTCGTATATAAGTAGTTTTCGTTAAATTAAAGCACGTGGACATAATGCGACACGCCATAAAGCACCGGTAACAGCAGGAGCTAGCAGACAACAACGATTTCACCCCTCTTTCAACGAGCTTGTAGGGATTGCTTTCAAATTCCTGGTTCCCAAAACGTGCGTAGATGTGTAGACGTGATGCGTGCCCGCAGGTTAATATTCCTTCGATATGAAAATCAGGGAAACCAAAGTAGAGTAACGACGTGATAAAAGGGAATCACTGTGAAAGTTGCCTATAGAATTGCCAACCACGTCACATTCAGGGAGTTTTTCGGCTGATGACTCTTGTATATGATATAGTCATCCAAGATTGCCAAATTTCAATTCAAATTAAATTATTCAAAATTATAAGCAATCCAGGTTTACATTATGTAGAAAGACTCAACTTCTATTTTATATACTATATAATGGATTATGGAGGAGTGAATAAAGTGGCTGCACCACAGGGTATTTTAATTCTTCGAATTAATTTCTAGTTAAAACTATTATTGTAATTCAGTTATCTGTAATTTCTTATACAATCAAGTAACTATTGCATACTAAACTTAAAAAAAACAAGAAAGAAAGCTAACTTCGGCACGCCGAAGTTTATATACCCTTGCAGATAGAACTTCTATGAATAGGAATCCATACAATATAAATTATATATATTTGTGTTAAAAAAACAATGAAGTAATAGCTGCTTTCATTTCATTCACCTATACATATTATATTTGCAATTTTACATACACAGATTTGCATTTTTCCTCTACATCAAACGATCGTTTGTATGGCACCTGTAAGATATAGTCGTCCGATTTTCATAAAATTTGACACAAAATTTAAGACTAATATAAAATAGCTATACCTTAAATTTTATGAAAATCAGCTGAAAACTGAAAAAGTTATAAATTTAATTGTATTAATTTCTCGATCGTTCTTATGGGAGCTATATGATATATAGTCCGATATATGATTAGTCCGATTTTCATAAAATTTTACACAAAATTGTAGAGTATAGTAAAATGGCTATATCTTAAATTTGATCTAATTCTAATGAAAACTGAAAAAGTTAAAAATTTTTTTGTAAAAATTTTACGATCATTCCTATGGCAGCTATATGATATAGTCGTCCGATCCGGCCCGTTCCGACATATATACGAGTGAGAGTATATAGAAGGCTAACTACAAAGTTTCATTCAGATAGCTTTAAAACTGAGAGACTAGTTTGCGTAGAAACGGACAGACGGACAGACGGACAGAAGGACAGACGGACAGACGGACAGACGGACATGGCTAGATCGACTCGGCTGTTGATCCTGATCAAGAATATATATACTTTATATAGTCGGAGGTGCCTCCTTCACTGCGTTGCAAACTTCTGACTGAAATTATAATACCCTGCAAGGGTATAAAAAAGTTTTCCTGCTCTCACAGTTACTAGTAAAACTGAGCAGTGAATTGACTGTAAAACCTAATACATTTAAGAAGAATATTTTTTACGCGCTAAAGACTCAACAAATTTAACAAATTTTCAATATCCTAGTTTTGGTTTCTTTAAGACTCTTATGTGCTGACTTTAATTGACGTAAACACTCATACTCTACACATTTTTCTTATAATTTTTCAGGCAACTCTTTGCCTGCTTTTGGATGCACGAACTGCCTGGGCAAAGAAGCTAAATGCGAGCCAGGCATTCGACGACACATGGAACACAGCATCCGATTTAGAAAATGAGCTGGAGGTGAGTGCTTTTAGGCTTTTGAGACGGCGACCCGAATGTAACTGCCAACTTGCAGCAACAGAAGCGAGCGAAGGGCCAAGGTGGAGGAGGCAGCGGACCCGGCCAGTGGTCGACCTGGTCGGACTGGTCGACGTGCTCGCGCACCTGCGACGGCGGCATCATGCAACAGATACGTAGGTGCAGCAACTCCGGCAGCTGCCGCGGCGAGAGCGCCCGCTTCCGCATCTGCAACATGCAGCCCTGTCCGGAGCAGCAGGACTTCCGCTCCAGCCAGTGTGCCGCCTACAACGATGTCCCCTACGATGGCACTCTGTACAAGTGGACACCGCATTACGACTACGTCGAGCCCTGTGCGCTCACGTGCAGGTGAGTGTGAGCAAGGAGTTGGGACGGTGTCCAGTAGAGCTCAAAAGCACTGCGAAAAAATCAAGTGTATTAAATATCTTATAAAAAACATTATGTTTTCTAAGAATGTTTTCTGAAAATTAATTTTTTGATTGCGCTTAAAGTACAATTTTAAAGTTTGTTTAAAATATGAGAGTTCTTTGCTTGATTTTTGCTTAATTAAAAAAACAAGTACTGGAAAATTCTAATTTGAAACAATCCGAGTACGCCTTAAAGTTAGCAAATACACTACGTTAACACATTAAAGGTCGCAACTTTTTAAAAGGGTCATTTAAATATCTAGATAAACGTATTACGTATAATTTCCATACATTTTAAGTATAGCAATCTGGTCTTTTAACCTACGAAATATATTGCTGTAAAATTTGGTTGTGTGTAGTTTATGGGGGATATGGGGATACGGCCACACTTATTCGGACTGTGCTGCAGCTGGTCCAGTCGGATGTGCACTCATTATTCATCGTGGCTTCCGTTCGGCAAGCCGTGCTGTGAGGCTTCAAGTGGCTTCCATTTATGTCCACATTTATGTGGCTTGGTCCGTCTACTTCCTTGTTTTGTGACAATAAAAAAGCTGTTTGCGCCTTTTTGCTTTCCCTTTGCTGTTGCGTTTTTCTCCTTTTTCCCTTTGCGGTTAAAATTAGCGACAGTTGTGTTTGGGTTTTTTGTGGTTTCGTTGTCTGGCGGTTAATCCTTTTGTATAGCTTTTATTTTTTGTTTTTTACCCGATCATAGCTGTGATTTTAAAAGACAGTGGGATGCAAGGGTATACAAAATTCAGTACGGTTGCACTAGCTTTCTTTTCTATTGTTCCTTTAAATGGCCAAATAAATCGTATTCCAAGCTTTAAGATTGGGAGTTCTGAATCGATTTGTTTACATTAGGAAATTAAATTTAAGGGAGGCTGCCAGAAATATATGGAGAGAATCTAAAAAAAGTTGAAAATTATGTTTTTATTATTGTTTGAATTTTAAGTTTTCAGTTGGTTAAATTTGAGTTTAAGCTCTTTTAAAGTATTATAAAAATGTATGTTGATTCATAAAGGAGAATAATTGTTGCTGCAAAATCTAATCTTCTAGATAATTTCTATTTTTCAAGGCAAATTGTTTTCCTTAATTTAATGTATTTTAATTATGCAATCAGTTTCAATGCAGTATTGACTGATATGCCTCTAATTAGTCAACTTACACAGCCTTTTTCCACTTTAAGCATAGGTTAAATGCAGCCTGACACTTAAATCATGAATCCTTTTGATGCCAGATATCTTCTCCATTCACAGAGGCCACCCGGCGCACCTCGTTGAGGACATATCCCGGGAGACGGGTGGCGGCCACGACGAGGAATCGGAGCACTACGACGAGCAGAGTGTCATTGTGCAACTGTCGGCGCGCGTCCAAGATGGAACCCGCTGTCGTTCTGGCAGCCTGGATATGTGCATCCAAGGAAAATGTCAGGTGAGTTCTACTTAGTCAACGTATGAGGGACCTGAGGGGCAATTTCCTTCCGGTCGGGCTCTCCCTTCCACTCCAAGTGCTCCCCATCGACGTACAGTGGGTGATTGCATGCCAATTTTGCCGAATATCTCCATTATTATTGCAAGCATTTCCCAAAAATGATATCTGCAGATATATGTATGTATACAATTTGTTTGCCCAACTAAGAAACTTTTGAGCTCAGATGTGCCACTGTGCGGCATGGCGGAGAACGATAAATTACGAGTACCTTCCCAGGGTTCCTGGTGGGGAGTCCGTTGGGTGAGTCCGTAGGCATGGCGTTGCCGAAAACCCAAAGAGACGAAAACAAAAGCTACTTTCGTTCTGGCGCTCGTCGAAGGAGCGTTAAGCATATGTATATGTATGTAGATTGCATAACACGAGCGCCTTTGTATCATTATGCTCCGGCGCATAAATAAATCATAAAGTGGGCGGCCGAAAGGGGTGGGCGTGAGCGTGGGTGGCTTCGAAGGCTGTTCTGCCTCAGTTGCTGCCATTGCTGCTGCCGTCAAAAGTCAACTATTGAAATGCCAATAAAGCGAGCCCCAGGGCAACGAGGAGCGGAGCAGGGGCACGAGAGAGGAGAGGAGCGCGAGCAGCTCCCCGGGCTACGACAGGGAGCTTGACATGAAATGTGCTGCAAAGTATGCTACGGTATGTTGACATGGGTGCCGAGGGGCACTCGAAAACTTAAGTTCAACGCGTTTTGTGTCACTATTTTTCACTATGCCATTCTTAATTCTTACGGAACGAATGAGTAACTCAAGTGAATTGATATTTTTTATGTCCTACTTATATATGGTTTTTTCCTATTTAAATTTACATGTACTTTTTATGGAATTTAAATCAGGTTCTGCAGACTTTAAATAAATACAAGTATTTCAAGAATTTTGGGAAAGCTTAAGTTGTAAGAATTTATGTTTGGTTTGTAAATGGCTTAAAAACAAGTGATCATAGATAATTCAGGTTAGGGTTTCATTTATATAGAAATATATATATGAAATTATAGTTTGATTTTCTTACCGGTTTGATTAATATCTGTTATTAAGTTAAATTAATGCATTACGATATTTGAAGTCTTAAATTGGTGAAGAATTTTTCATCATAGTCTTACTAGAAGCTTAATATGTTCTAAAAAGTCTTGAATAGTATATTTGACTTTCACTGTTTTTACAACTACAGTAAAATCATATAAGTTGAGTTTGGTATCCTAATACACTAAAAAAAATTAAGCATTAAGGATTTTCCTGTATTTTTATCTTGAAATTGTTAAAATCCTATGATTTAAATTATTTTTTTAGAGAATACGATACGTTTTTTTTTTATCCCTGTCGTGGATTATTTTTTACATTCTGTTTGAAAAAGTTTACAGTTTTTCGCGCCAAGACGTCACCCCAATTTGTTGTAATAAGAGCCAATATGTCATGCGGTCCGCTTCGGGTTTTATTTTTTAGCCAAACACTTTGCTACTGAGAAGCAGCATTCGCATCTGCCAGAGGCACTTTTGGTACATGGCTCCTGTACCTGCATTTCTATGTGGGTGTTATGTATGTACATATATCTGTTATAAATAAATCAAATAGATTGCTGCCAGCTTGACGTCGTTTAATGCGAGCCGCGGGCTTTGAGTTTGCTTATTTGTCTTGCGGTTTACGCGCACCAAACAGTCGACAAACAAGTCAGCCGACAAAGTGGTGAATAGCTAAAATATTGTCATTCATACATTTATGTATATATATATACATATATAGGTAGGTAGGGTCCCTCCTTGAGCAATAATAGTATTCTTATATCCTGGGAAATAATTAAATTACAAATACTTTTGTTTAGAGATACATATCTGGCATATGGCATATGAATAATTTTACTTAAAGAAAATCCTCCTTACTTACATATCTGTTTTACTAAAAGTAAAGCAGAAATCACTGTATTATTATATCATTTTAAATAGATTCTATAGGATATTTATTAAATAAATTAATAAATTATGAATCCCATTGAATCGATAACAATTTGTTCAGAGTTCAGAAAAACCTTTTTTAAATGATTTAGCTACGGATTGTGAGAATGGATTTACTTTGTAATTGAATGCATATGTAGCAGCGTAATCCTAAACTGGGATTTCAAAAGAATTTTAAAAACTTTCAGAATTCTCCATTTGGCTTTGGTATTTTTGCAGTTCGTTTATTTTGAGAAACAATTTGAACAGTAAGGTGGACAAAATCCAAGTTAAGCTAAAGGGGATTTTTAGCTTAAAAGATATTCAACTTCAATTTTTCCGGATTTTGCGATCTGAATGCAGCTCACTAAAACCAAACTTATAAAATGTTTCTATTGATTTTACTACTATGTTAAGTTCAATTTGTTAATTTAATTTAATTTACTACTATATTAAATTCAAATTGTTAATAAATTAAACTTTTTGTTTACTTTAACCATATATTATTAAAAAAAAGTCCACATTCAAAAGTTGCCTCCAATTTTTTAGGATTTGCAAGCACACTGCTGTTAAATTCCAAAAAAAAAAAACACAGAAAATTACGGATCGTGAACTCGAGTGAAAAGAATCGAATCAAAATCAAACAAAGGAATGCCGGATATAAAATGTGCCATGGGGCACAAGGCCGACTCTTTTTTCTTTGTTTATTTCCATCCAGTCTGCGCCTAAGCTTATGCAATGGATTCCTCGCCATTGATTTTCATATTTTATTTACGATTGCCGTTGTTTCTGTGTGTTACGCTATTGATACCACTAACAGTTGATTTACACTTTATTTACGCAGCCATTTTTATTTACCTTTCGGCTTCGCCTGTGTCTATATCCTTCTAACATCGGCGTCGTCCTTGTCTCTGCTCTCTTTCCAGCGCGTTGGCTGCGACTTGAAAATCGGCTCCACAAAGAAAATCGACGGCTGCGGCGTTTGCGGTGGCGATGGAAACTCCTGCTCCCAGCCGCTCTACTACTGGGAGATGGCACCGATGTCGCAGTGCTCTGCCACCTGCGGCGGAGGTAAGTTCAGCCCCCTTGTCCTAGCCCCCAATGCACTGAAAACAATTTGAATGTAAGAGTAATATGCATTACATGAAGAAAATCATATCGTTTTCACTGAAGGTAAATCAGGAAGCAAAGCCACACTCTCTTTCTTGTTCAATTTTATTTAAAATCTTTTAGATATTAGTTAACAAAAAATCAAAGTCAATTGATAACAATTGTTTGCAGTTCAGGAAAACATTTTATGTGTTGTGAGATACAGAATGACTATGCATTGTAATATATTTGCACATTTCTTGACATACTTTTTTCGTCGAGTGTAGACCAACTGCTTGTCACCGATGAGCGGCTGCCTTTGCTGGCCGTAGGGTAAATAAACAAGTGGAATATGTCAAGAACATTGAAACTGGAGGCCCAAGGAGCTCTTAGCGTGCCTGACTGCCGTTTGTAAGCTCCTCTGCTCCTATTCCCCTCCCGCGAAAATACTGTCAAATTTATTTTTTCCCCCATTCGGCGGGAGTGTGTCCTGTGCAGAGGAGCCTGCTATTTGTCGTGCTCATTTATTTTCATTGAATTGGAATTTGTTTCGATTGAATGTTTGCATGGTAATCGAGTGGCAGCAGCTACTATCCACATTCCCCCGGATCCCCCGGGTCCCCCCGGGTAATATGGTTGTTGAAAACTGTGTTTTTACTCCGCCCTCGGTGCTGCCTGTATTTGATTAATAGTCTGGGGGTATAATATATTTGAAACTAAAGTTTGTCGATTAGCTCAAAGTCAGCCTTAGGTCGGGTTTCATGCTAGGTTCTGGCAATAAATTGGGCTGCCAGGTTCCCATTTCTGGGTTAAGTTTCGAGTTCCCTTCTGGAGTGCCCAAGTAGGTGACTTGATGAGCCGTGAGGTAATGAAACTTGGCGTTGAAGAGCACATGGAGTACATGGAGCTATGTGTGTGTATAAAAACAAATAGCTTTGAAACTATTTTTGCTTCTATATATTCACCAAATGTGCGAAAGAAGTGTCCGAAAAGTTGTGCAGTTTAATGAAATGAGTAATGAAAATAGGAAGTGGTTTTCTTGGTCTTTAGATTTAAAGTAAAGTTGGGTGCTAATTTAATTGAAGAATAAAACATTGTATGTGTTTTTGTTTTGATTAGAGTTTGAAAAACAGAAAAGATTCACCGAATTTGTACAAGTTTGAATGTTGATTCACTTTTGAATGATGTACATATACTCATCATAGCTTAAGTGGATCGATGTCTTACAGAGTCAACTTTACGGCTGCTCAGGTGTCCCTATAAATGTTTAATCATGATTCGGTTCGGCTCTTTTTTGGCCCATTAGCCTGTCCAGGATAACTTTGCTTTGGCTTGGCTAAATGTCACTATGGGCGGATGGAGGCGGCTCGGATCAGCCGTTTACTCGGGCATTATCCAGGGGTAAATGGCAAAATCAATTTCAGGCATTCTCGCCAACTTTAATTGCAGTATCGCTTGAGGAAGTTGCCTTTAACCCGCGTGACCTACTCAATTCCGGCTTGACCCACCTTTAATTACATTTTAATGTGTCTGTGTCCGACTGTGTTTAGTTTTTAGATGTCAGTTAAATGTCAAGTGCAGTGCAGTGCCCAGCCCCAGGGTCTCTTTGGATTAGTGGTCACCTGTGCGCTCCATGCCAGACCCAATTTAATAGGGTTTTTGCTTTGAACATCGAATTGCTTTTAGGAGTGCTCAGTCCACAATCCACCCCTCCCACCTCAAGCATATAATTGCACACATTTCACGAAATCAATTATGCTCAATTATACATATTTGCTCGGGTAGTTTTGCAGTTTTTCAACTGCAGTTCTTGTGTACGTGACAGGAGTTCCAACTGTCTGATGGCCTTACTTTACTCGCACAGAGCTGCCTGACATCCGTGTCCCAAATTAAAAACACTCAATCGTCATTTAGATTGTAAATATTTTCCTTTTTTTAATTTCAAAGGGATGAAGAAGCACTTGGAAGACTGAAGCCAGAGACAAGGCAATGAATTATTCGTAGAGAAATAAAGAGAAAAGCGTTGGGAAATTAAGTAGAGTAAAGTCTGTGTCACGACATTACAGTTTATAATTATATAGAATATACAAATATATTCGAAATCAAATTAAGAAACAATGTTATTCCTGTACTTTCATATAAATAGATTTAGTCAAAGAAATACCTACATATTGTGCCCCTAAATATTTGCCAAGTTTGACATCACACGAAGGAAGATGAATCAGGAGTGAAGACGGATGGTGGAGATTCGCAGAGATTCAGCGCTTAAGAAGCTCAACTCCGGCAACCTGCTGGTTGTCAGCTTTTCTTGCGCTCCTCCCTGCCACCCACAGGAACTCGGTCTGGAGCTGAAGATGACTTCTCTTTGGGCCACGACAATTGACGTTAATGCCATGAGAGGATATTACCAATTGCCTTAAGCCAATTGTGTCATGAATACGCAGTCAGCGGGCGATGAGGATGACAGGACCCTAGTTGAGGATGGGGATGAGGATGTGGGTGAAGATGGGGATGTGGATGGGAATGGAGGACCCGATGAGGAGCAGAAGCTTCATGACTATGACATGGCCATGGCACACGCTCGCTGCCAATAGAGTTTACGTATAAGCGAAATGCGATAGCTGTAAAATCAGCGTCACAGCTGCTCACCGGGGGAGTATTTGCACCGGGTTCGGTGGCATGGCCGAGGTCGAGCGTTAAGGGCTTGCAACGATTTCTCAAACTGACAGATCGTTATGACGTCATGCAGTGTTCCTTGCCCCCATCCAGCTCCATCTCCTCATATTTGCTTCATCCTTGGCTGGCTGCAGCTTGCCATCTGCCATTTTCCGGTTGTGCTTTTGGACCCTTTCAGATCCCATTTCCCAGCTGGGAGCTGACATTTAAATCATTTGAAAAATTGATTTTTCTTCGATGATTTTTATTGAGATCGCTTAGAGTTTTAGCTTTGCCTTGGTGACTTGGCCATTCACATACATATTACTAATTCAGTTGAAGAAATAAAGGAGCTTAGGGAATATTTCGAAATAACATTCGTTTTGTTTTGTGTATTTATTTGAGAATTCTTTTTTAAAATAATATGTAACACATTAATATTTTCCTTGTGCAATTTTCACTACCCTTCTAAGAATATAGGTTGGGTTAAACATATTCATATTCTGTGTTGTTGTAAATAAAGTGACTTTTTATATAATTTCAACTCCGGAAAAAAGTGATATTCATTTTGAAGTACCTCAGTCTCAGTGGACTCTATTTTCTTTAATGTAAAAGATTTACCTTTCAGCCAATTTATCTCTTTACTAATATAATGGTGCTTTTTTTCCTATTTTTTCTGCCGCCTTAGGATACAAAATGGCTCGTCCAATATGCAGAAATCGTCTAACCAACGCCGATGTGGATGATACTCTTTGCAGCCTCACTAATCGCCCGGAGGCGTCAGTGGAGCAATGTAATACTCACAGCTGTCCGCCGCGGTAAGTACTTAAATATAGTCGCTGGCAAGTACTTAGTACTAGTCCCTAACTAGCCACCTTACGTATATGCCTAAACTACCCCGCGGCTATATCCACAAACTACCACAAAGCACATTCCCAAGCGAGCCGTTAGTTACACTCGGAATAGAGTAGATTACAATTGGTAGCCTAAAGGGGTATTTTGTATACCAAAATAACAAGTTGAGTAACGCCATGAAATAGGAATAAAGATAGGATTCTTTATAGAGCGAAGGCATTTTCAGGCATTCTAGATCTGTACGCTCTTATACACCAAAGTGCTAGCAAGAGGATAGCTAATTTAGAGGCGTTATCTACCTTATTATTAACATGTCTCTGTTTATACTCACTCCTCCTGCGCAGGATACTTGACGAACCTGACCAAAAGTGACCTATTCTGAGGACCCTTCAGGAGCTCTACTCATCATCCTCTGAGATTCGCTTTGGCTATATATAAACCTTCACGCTGATGACTCAAGTTTTTCCTCAGTGAAGCTTAGGCTCCGTTGTCCCCACCTGGCCAGCTATCAATTTAAATGGCATCGCTTATCGTGCGCACGTTTTGATTGCCGACACTGGCACACTATTATCGCCCAGGAGTCGGACGCGGACGTTGTCTCCAATCGCTGCGGGCTGCTCGGCTGCCTTGTCGTCCTTCCTCCTCGTCCACTGCTGGCACTCTGGCACACGCTTATTTATCGTTCGGTGACATTTCGGGAACCGAAACCAGAAGCACACCGCACCGAGACCAAAGTGAGCCGAAAGTTTACGCCAATTTGGCGAACGTCTCCCTGCCTGCCTGCCGTCGAATTCTAATCTGGGTATCTGGTTGCGGTATTCCTGTTCCTGTTGGTGTCCTGGCTCGTCCTTTCCCCACCACCGCCTCCGGACTACATATTTATTGCTGTTCGCAGCTTTGCGACTTTGCCTTTGGGCGTAGACATCAATTATGTTTTTTTAGTTTGACTGTCTCGCGGTATGTTCTCAGTGTGGGCCTTGTTTTCCTTGTTTTGAAGGATTCAAGGGAATTGTGGCAGTGGCTAGGGATGAGCCATCGAGAATTGTACATTCGTGTGATGAACTGTTACGCGGAGATTGGGTCAACAAATGTGAGCTCACTTTTATCAGACTGGGAATTTGAACCAGCTCTGTGTGTTCTCAGAGAATATAATTATTGCCTTGTACATATGTATATGCGCTGAACACATTCTACTTAAGATAATAATATAGATTAAAGCTTACAAAATTAGACTTAAATAGCTCGGTTTCTAGAGATACCCAATACTTTTCACAATTCCCATACTTACCAATAGGCTGCGATTACACCTAGTTTTAAATTCCTTCTTAAATATAATGCATTCTTAAGGTTTGTTAACATAGAAAGAATATTACATTTTGTATATATTTTCCACCAAGAATAAAATATTTATTTCCGAAAGCCGAATCTTTCCGATATTCAAATATATCCTTTGATAGTGGTTTCTTAACCCCTTCACGAGTAGGTTGTTTTCTACAATAATTTCGTTCCTTAGTATAATCTTGCCTTATTGGTATAGCGTTTATAAACATTTCATACACTTTTAGTAAGGTTTTTTTCATTCATCCGAAACTGGTCCACATATAATTCGTTGAAATCAGTCCAATTGCAAACTAGCTTGTTTTTATAAACTTATGATTGTTTGCTTTTGACATATAGATTATTTTACTATCTTGTCGTTAATTGGGCTGCTTTTCCAAAGCTCCTTCAGCAGCATTACTGCTCACCTCAATGGGATGTCAGCAGTGTACGACAACTCAACTATGTTATTCGGTTGCAAAAACAAAGGAATTACTTTGAAGTCCTGCCTTTCTTTCTCACACATTTCTCTACCTGACACTGCTTCCCACCTATGTACCTTAAGAGCGTGTGAATTTATTTTGTACACTTATTTGTTTACTTTCCGATTGTTTCATTCACCACCTGAATTTATCTTTTGTGCATTCGCAGCTGGATAACCGACGACTGGAGCACCTGCAGCAGGCTCTGTGGACATGGGTACCGTGAGCGGATGGTGGTCTGTGCCGAGGAGTCTAACGCCATCAAAACGAGGGTAAGTCGAGGTCGAGGAAGAGTGCGAATTGGCACCTTAAGTAGTCGGCAGGATGGTCGTGGCAATTACCAGCGGTAACGCCCACCCAATCGCTCCTAATGTAACATAGCATGCAGAAAGGGCGGTCCAACACATTATGGCCATGTTTTCTCACACCTTCCCCGCACTCCCTCGCAGGTTGCAGATATCATGTGCCGCTCACCGAAACCGCCGACACAAGAGACCTGCATTATCGAGGAGTGTCCGCATTGGGAGGTCGAGGACTGGACTGGGGTAAGTACCGTAGTACCTCTGGACCGAGGTACAACAAGTCGTGCAATAATCGTGCACTTTCTGTGCTGCAGCCAGGAAAAGTGAAGAGGGGGCTGCTCTCACCCAGACACAAGTTGTAAGTCGCACGTTGGCCGTTGCCCCATGCCCCATGCCCCTAGTCGAGGCCATGTCTGGGCTCTTAGCTAAATGTCTGGCTGGCTGCTACTCACCGCTGCATGTATGCTTCAAGCCATAGTCCGGGGTATAGCTGGTTTAGAATGCCTTTTGGCCAATGGACCATTGAAAGTAGTAGAAAAAAACCAACAATATTTGACAATTTATCAAAGCTGGTAGTGCCATTCACCAGTAATTAATCAACGACTCATCAACAGTCAAGGCGGTGTTGTTGATTATTTATCGATTAATGGCCTAATTGTTGATGAATTAACATGGCCATGTCCTAGGCTGCAATCAACAACAATTCATCAAGAATTAATCAATGATTCATCAACAAATCCGTCAACATTCATAAACAATTCATCGATGATTTATCAACAATTCATCAACAATTCATCCATGAAATATCAACAATTCACCCATGTAATATCAACAATTCATCGATGATTTATCAACAATTCATTAAAAATTCATCAACAATTCATTAATTCAGACCACCGTCGTAACTGTGTCGTGGGCAGAGCGTCGGCTCGGTAGAAGTCGCAGTCGGCGCTTTGATGACTGTTGATGACATGTGGTACTGCAGGGCTTAGAGTTGGTAAATACAGATGAATTTATGTATACACATTCAGAGGAAATTATTTTGAAAAGTTAAATGTTTTCAGATCACTCACGTAGGTCGCAAAAGGAAACCCATCGTAGGGTCAAAATTATCTATATACTTTGCAGTCATACCTTACCTTGATAGCTCGTGCCTATAGAAAATGTATACAAAATCAATTATTATTTGATCAAAATACACATTTAAATTTATACACCACAACTGTATAATCAAGTTTAATAGAAATTAGTTTTCCTAAATGACAGTATAGTATTTCAAGAGATATAGCTAGAACATTTGTTATTCGAATAGGCTTAGTCCGTGTTCCGTTCTTTTTGATTACTTTGCTTGGTGGCTCGTAATAAGCTGCTAGCCGCTAGACTGCCACTGAGACTCAGAACCGCCCCACTCGCCCCACTCGCCCCACTCGCCCCACTGGGAATAGCCGTGGCCGTACAACTTAATCAAGTTGGTGGCGGCGTCGGCGGCGCGGCTGCTTAAATTTGTCTGGCCGCCACTCGGTGCTCCACCACTCGAATGGCCGGCTAAGGATCCACTTTGGTGGCTGTTCATTTAAACTGCGACTTTATTAATGTTCCTCCGCCCCGTCTCAGCCTGGGTTGGCGTGTGGGGACTTAAGTCGCCTGCTCTGGGGGTGTCAGGTTTATGTGTTGCTTAATTGAATTGTCTTAAGTTTTTCGCCTTAATACTGTTTAATGATTTTGGGGTGGCACTTTTGCGAAGGGTTGGGCCAGAGTTGAACTGAACTGAGAGAGGAATAAAGAATAAAAGCATTTTTCTAAGAATTCGGAAAAATTAAATATCACACATTCAGGCGAACTGGAGCTAATTAAACTTTGTAAGAGTAGGAGAAGAGTAGTTCCAATGCCTTTTCACTTTTAACTTTTATTTTTTGCGAAAATGAGAGAAAGAGAGTGGAAGCTAAGTACTTAAAGTCGGCCTATTAACCACTTAATGAACTTTTCAATCATACTACGACTTCCGCACCGTTTTTCTCCATACTCTTTTAACACCTGGTGAATTTACAGAAGAAGGATATGATGGGCTTGTTGTAAATTACGTAACAACAGCTTATATCTAGATCAAAGTTTTGAGATTTTTAAAATATAAAAATTAATTTATCCCATTTCCCTTGTCACAATCTTTAAAGTAATTCCAAGAGTTTTAGATTCTGATTAAACTATTCTTGTCATTCTGTAATAAATTTTCCAGTTTTTCCGTTCTTTCGCGTACCGGGTACCTTCAAGTCGGTAGCTTTTATTTCCGTTTGGTTTTGCAAACTCTTTTGTTTAAAAGTTAACCGCAAAACCTTTCAGCATCGGGTCCGTCAGCGTTTTAAATGAATTCTCATAATGCTTATGATGATGAAATGCAAAATAAATGATGTGAGCGGCAAATGGAAAAGGAGTTAGGGGTCGGAAAAGCCTATTAAAAAACACGTTAACGTTCATGTCCATTAATAAAATGTATGCCACGAAATTAAGCGCCATTAAATCAGACTGTGGAAGCGGGCAGGAAGAGGGATATTTTTATGCAAATAAACAAAGAAGATGGAGCCGATGATGTTACGCATACGCCCTGTGGCCCCAGGAAACACAAACGAAACGAGAGTTGCATTTGTATGCGATGGTGATGAGGATGACGATGGCGTGTGGCTTTGTGTCTCGGCTGAGTTGCCTCCTTGTTTCCTGCCGCATCACTTGAAGCATTTGCGACGTATCAGGGCACTTTGTCATGTTGTGGCTCATCCCTTGCGCAAACAAATGCCTTTCTGTGACGGCAAAAAAGGAGCATATTGAAACAATTTATAATGCTTACGGGTGTGTCTACCCAACTCCCTCCTCCTCCTCTACTAACCCACAGTGCTCGGTTTCCTGCGGACAGGGAATACAAATGCGAGGCGTGGAATGCAAATCAACGGACGGCAGCCTGAGTGCCAAGTGTGATCCGCTCACAAAGCCGGGGAGCATGCAGCAGTGCTCCACGGGAATCCCCTGCGGAGGTGAAGGCGCCTCCCAGAACAAAGGCGGTGGCACCATCATTGTGGGCAGCAGTCGCTCTGGGAATGAGGTAAGGCTATCTGCGTCTTTCGCGCCTTGATTGACCTCCTGACTTCCGACGTTTCAGCGGTCAGAGCGGGAGATGGACAGATCCGACGCGGATGACGATGACGACGAGGACTTGGACGATGAGGCCGAGGACATTGACGACCTGGAATCGGGTCAGGATACCGATGACGGCGAGGGCTTGTCGTATGCCGATCAACCCTTGCGCTACTCCCACCAAACACAGAGTCGCCTGCACCAGGAAGCCCCGAACGAGCCGCGAACCATGCGATTGATGGGCGGCAATTCAAATAGTAACTACAACCGGAGAGGAGGTGACACCGACGGGCCTTCGCTGGATCCCAGGTAACTATGAGAAACTCTAACCGTGTAGTTTATTCTGATTATATAACTAGTACGTAGTCTGATTAGCATAACACTTGACCTCCTTAGGTTGGACTAACTAAGTACAAGTAGCTTAAAGATCGAAATATAGACAGGGATGACCTTCTCCACCCAAATAACGTGGGGCATTAAAATTCCACACTCTGATTGTGGCCAGTGCTTCCACAAAATAATGTAGAATATCGAGAAACCGCGGCGGTGGTGTCTCAATAATTACGGCTAGGACCTCCTAATGATGGCACGCCTCTGTGTTGTTAGCCAGGTCTCTTGGGACTTCCAAGGCTTTTGGCTCCGACCCCATGTCTCGGAGCCGGAGGCTTCTGTATGTAGTATACATATCTCTTCTCGCCATATCTCGCCCCGAAGCCAACACTTGACTTATTTCACATTTGGTGCGTCGTCGGAGGGTCCCTCGCCGTATCCTTATCCACCATCCCACTCACTTAGCCGCCACTCGACTCGAGCACTTGGCCAACGCACCAGCAGACATTGCCCCTCTCCGTGACTCATCATAACTGGCTCGAGTATTGTCGACACCTAAAATTAAGGCTATTAGACAAACTCACACTCTTGGCCAGAAGGAGCGGGAAGGAGCAGGAAGGGAAGCCATCGACTTGGTACACTGGAGTGGACGTAGATTGGTCAGCCTGCTGAAGTGCGCCTAATGACAATTAAAGTGGGGCTTTGACGTGTCCGCTGTGCTGTTATTGGGAAACGATAAAGAATGTCCCCCGATAAGGTAGCTGTTCAAACATATCAAATTGGGGCCTCGGGTGTATACACACACTGTAATTAAGCACTGATCCGGCGAAACCACGGCATACAAACGAAATGAAACTAAATGAAATCATTAGAAGCGAGTGGCCAAACTCGAGTGCTTTTATCGGATAATTGGCGCGTGGGGAATACTTAGGCCAAATAATAAATTACAGCTCTGATTGAGAATACCCTATACGCTTTTCCCAACTTCTCGCTTGTTTATTTTCCAGAGAGCGCTGGAAAGCCAGGAAATTGTTTCGCGCGGTTGCAATTGGGGCAATTGTGGAAGGAAAATCGTTTATTAACAAAGTGGAAAAGCATTTTGTATGTTAATAAACAAATGTGTTTTTATAAAGCACAATGAGTGCCAAGGTTAAGATTTGCATTGCGATCTGTCCCTTATATAACCCTAGAAATACCATGGAATTTGACAAAGCTGACTTTCTATCGTGTTAATGTTTCTTTTATATTTATATAAACTATATCCCTAGGGATTATTTAATTACAAATTCTTTGACTACTTTAGCAAAAATGAAGAACCGTCATCTCAAATTGTCAATCATTGACCTTTGTATGTACATAGTATATTTCAAATGCCAATCCCTACAGTCGGAAAATAAAATGTACTATAAATTAGACTTAGATTCAAAAGGCTGAGCAAATGACAAGCAAACGACGTTTTTGCATAACGTGTAGTAAAATAAAAAGTAATTAAACTGCATATATTTTCTTAGTATTTATCTCGAGGCTTTGTCGTCGCAAAGCCCACTAAACAGAAACTATTCGAGCCTGGCGTCGCCATGAAGGCGCGCCTCGATGCCGCCACCAGAACCTTGGCCTCCGCTTCCGATGCCGATGCCGATGCGGCGACAATAAAAGTCATGAAGAGATTGGCAATGGCAAAGCGCCAACCAGACAAACAAAAAAAAAGGAAGAGATATAGGCACCAAACTCAGAATGGAGCAAGCAAACAAAGTTGAGAACACGCGCCTGTCCAACGAGATACACTGGTGAAAATTTGTACAAGAAGCTGAATTCATCCTTAAAACTAGTCACACCAAAGCTATATCATCTTCTAAACTAGTCAATTTCAACTATCCAAAACAACTCCATTGGATATACTATAGTTTATACTACTACTTTATACTTTGGAACAGGGAAAGTAGTCAGGACTTAACGTTTTCAAACTGATTAAAAGATTGGAAAATGCCTTCTCGTGGAAGGATAAAAGGATACTTAGCTCTCTTCATTAAGTTGTAGACCTATTGGAAAAGTAATGTCGATTTTGTATTATTTTGTACAAGCATTATGGTTGTGAAACACATTTACTTATATGCTAGGTTTGTCTGAAGAATGCTATGAAATTGAAAATGGTATGCTCACTTTTTTCCTGTGCTGCTTCCAAGCTGACCTACTTAGAGAGAGAGCCTTTCTTAGACATTTGCGGCCGATTGGCGCCGCTTTTTATTTATTTTTTTCTTCTTTTTTGCAAAAGTCTCATCTACAATTTGACTACAAATCAATAAGGGGTAGAAGTAAGGTAGACCTCTGGGCTCTCGTCCGTACTATCATCTATTGACTGTCAGCGCGACCATAAAAATCACTTCTGGAACAAAAGAATGCCTGGACACAACCACTGCAGACCACTACCAACTCCAGTAGGACGAAAAGCGAGAAGTGCGGGTTATGCGAGGACTAAAAAGGGACTTCAATAAATGTGGGCTCTGGCATCTGCCAAATGAAATGCAATGTGTGTGACATGTCGAGCTCCATTGTTGCTAGGAATTTATTTAGCTCTGGTGAATACGGAGAGCGCAACTCTGTGGCCTGAACGTTGCGATGGGTCGCGTTGACACAAGTTTTAGTTGATTCGATTCTGGCACTGGAATTGGACCCCATGGTTTCTCCCTTGATGAGTGGTAGTGGTGTGAATCCTCCCGTTGTCAAGCGTAAAATTTGATAAATATTGCCAAAGCTAAATTGTTTGTTTTTGATGCGGTAAAGGGAGCATAAATGCGGGAAATCATTTATATTACTAACTTTATTAACTTAAGAGAACGTAGTTTTAATGGTACTCTATTAACTTTATCCGAAAGATTACATAACTAACTAACAAAGTCTATATATGGAAAAGGAAGTAGAGGCCATGACTACATTGAGTCGAAAGTTCATGTTACATAGGATCGGAGTTACATCCCTTACTATCCAATAAATATCTGAAAATAGAACATCCTTTACTTGAAATACTTTTGCTTTAATATATTGATTCCAATTGCATTTCCTTTAAGATACAACTATTTAATATTAAATAATCTATTATATTCAATCAATTACAGCTTCGTGAAAGACACCGACTGGTCACCTTGCAGCGTTACCTGTGGCGAGGGCATTCGTCGTCGCACCTACAAGTGCAAAATATTTTTGGAATACTCCAGGACAGTGGCGACCGTAAATGACTCTCTTTGTGAGGGAACCAAGCCCCATGACGAGGCGGAGCGCTGCGTGGAGGATCCGTGCGTGCTGCCCTCGCATGGGTTCGACGACCAGTTTCCCAGGGACTCAATCAAGGTCGGTGTCTCGGAACCTGGCAAGACGTACGTGTGGAGGGAACAGGGCTACACATCCTGCAGTGCCTCCTGCCTCGGAGGCGTGGAGGAGCTGATCATCAACTGCGTGAGGGAGGATAACGGCAGGGTGGTTTCACCCTTCCTCTGCTCGCCAGAAACCAAACCCGAAGCGCGGGTTCGCACCTGCAACGACCGTCCCTGTCCGCCGAGGTGGAACTACTCGGACTACACGCCCTGCTCCAAGAGTTGCGGCATTGGCATCAAGACGCGCGAGGTGCAGTGCATCCACGAGGTGACCCGCGGGGGCGAGAACACCATGGTGGTGCCGAACAGCATGTGCCCACAGCCGCCGCCTGCCGACAGGCAGTACTGCAACGTGCTCGATTGCCCCGTCCGCTGGGAGGTGGGCGAGTGGTCCAAGTGCTCGCACACCTGCGGATACGGGTTCAAGGACCGCAAGGTGGAGTGCAAGCAGATCATGGCGCAGGAGCACAAGATCGAGCGGCCAGAGTCGATGTGTCCGAGCGCGAAGCCACCGGACAAGAAGCCGTGCAACGTGAAGCCCTGTCCGCCGGAGGACCCCAAGCCCGTTATCCAGATCAATAACTCCACACACATTCAGCATGATCCCAAGAAGACCAAGATCACACTCAAGGTGGGCGGTGCCGGGGTGGTGTTCTTCGGCACCCAGGTGAAGATCAAGTGCCCGGTGAAGAGGTACAATCGCACCAAAATCAAGTGGAGCAAGGACCACAAGCCGCTGCAGCGCTCACGAAAATTCAAGGTGTCCAAGAAGGGCGCCCTTCGCATTCTCGACATCACGTTCCGCGACGCCGGGGTCTACTCCTGTCACGCAGGACTCAGCTCGGCGGAGATTAGCATCGAGGTGAAGGCCAAGCCGGGCCAGCAGGCCGAGGAGCTGGAACGCCAGGAGTCGGGTGGGTAGTCAAGGCGGATTGTGCTTTTACTGAGTGATGGGAAGTAGAAAGCCATTTATTACAGCTTTATTATTTTCGGAAAACTAAAATTTCTAACCCTAAAGAACAGCTTGTTACTAATCTAGTTAAATGTAGTATAGCTGGGCAACAAAGTATCTTTAAAGAATGTATGTACAAGTACTATTGGACGACCATAAATAAAACTAGACTGTAATGAGCACTAAATCCTCACCTTTTCTTTCATAGCAATAAGAGAACTCTAATCCGCGAAAAGAGCGCTTTTATAAATATTATTTATACAATTACCTTTCCCAAGAACAGTACAGCACACCGCTGGCCCTAATGAGCTTGTCCATCTGACTTTGGTTTCTTTCCTTCCTCTGATTTCCCCAGATCGCCTGGTGCGTGAACGGAGCGGCACGGAGGCTCTTACCTCGGCGGACATGACGTCAGTGGACGGTGCAGGAGTGGGAGCTGGAACTGGATCTGATGGCCTCCCTGATGGGTAAGTCTTTTTGGGAAAAGTTTTCAAGCTCAACTTCCTAGGGTGAAGCAGAGACTCGATTAAGCCAGTTGTTGGAAGAGCCTTCCTCTCTCTCTATACACTAGGGTTATGGTGGGGTATATGTTTGTTTTGTTTATTTTGCAGTAGAGTGTGACAGGTAGACATCGTAAGGTACATAAATATGCTGGTAATATTGGGGATTAATTAGGTTGATAGATTAGTTTGGCTTATATAAGTTTAAGTTCCATTTATGTTGAAAAGTAATAGTTAATGACTATAGGAAACTTATAATGAAAACTGAATAATGAATTAGAAGGATAGTGTAACTAATTACAAACTATATGTTTATAATTGCAATCGAAAGCATTACCATTAATTCAATACCATTACTAAATTTATGACATTTACTTAATCACCTGAGAGGTTTCTCTGTAATAAAATAAAAGAACAGTCTGAAATTTGACAGATTATTTGTATATGTTCCTGATACATTATTAAACAGAAGAAAACTAGCAGTTTCCTTAACTATCTTCCATTTTCCGCCACAGGTATTCCCAAAGCTGGTACTTGGCGTAACCTAATCTGTGACTCGATTCCCGAGTTGAGGTTGTGAAAGTTATTAACGTCTTGTTGTGCTTCCACTCCCTTGCACGGCCGTGGCATCTCCTTCAGAGTCCAGCTGCTACTTCCGCTTCCGTTTACAATATTCGCGCCTCAAGTGGCGCAGGAAAGTGCTAACCGCTTAGTATCTGGTCAGTTAAGAATGGGCTCTGGATGCATCCTTCGCCGTGCCCATATCTAGGAGGCATTGCCACTCTCCTTAGCTCCTGCGGCCTATCTTGCGTCTGCGTGTTATCGACGGTTGCCGCTGTCTAAGTGTTATTTCCGGCACACCTTTTCCACTTTTCCTTGCATCCGCTAAGTTGAGTCAGTGTTTTTATTTGCTTTTTCTTTGAGTTAAAGTTTTATGCGCTTAAACAAAGCAACAGAGAGTAAGTGAAACAAAAACTCTAAGTAAATTTCATGCTTACTTAGTTGGCTCACCTCTGCATATAGATTGTTTCTCTTTCAGGGTGAAGCTATAGTTTGCATTGACAATTTAAGTTTTCTGTTCTTCTTGGTATATCGCTGATCTTTAAACTTGGAAATACCGCATATTTCATTCTTTGGGATTTACAAAACTCTTGCAATACAATTAGGAATCAGCAAGCTTTCCACGTCAAAGTTCCTTTGAAATAGAATTTCAAGAAGCGAAAACCCTTAAGCGCTCTTCTAGATATGATAGTTTTCAGTGATAACACAAACACTATGATTCCTCTGTGATAAATTTTGAACTGTTCTGGAATGTTATTAGCTTGGTTAAATTTGGGACTGCTATCGAGTGCACCGGGTCTGTATAATGATATCTGCAAAGCTCTTCAACGTTTAAGTCTATTGAGTGGATGCCGCCCCTAAAACTGCATTCTCCCGGATACACGTGTGTGCGGTTTATTTCGCAATTCGGGTTACGTGTTCGGTTGCTCTGGAAGTTTAACGTGCCAAAAATTACAGAGTAACCATATGCATGTATAGATGGGCAATATATGTACATCAATATATGTATGTATGTAAATGTTTGCATTTGGACAGGCAGTACAACTTCATACGTTTCGCAATCGTTTGGAATGCCTCGCTCCCTCTTTTTGTGTGCTTAAATGTTTAAGCAAATGGTTAAAAGCAAACAGCCGCCAGGAAAATGCATATTGCCTGTTGTGCAGGCAGTTCAACTCTAAAATCCCCCTTTTAACACATAGCAAAACGTAGTCATATATCGTACTTTTATCGTCTTTCTAATGCGTCATTCACGTTGTCGTTTTCATTAAAACCGAATATCAAAATGGAGCTTACTTCTGGCGGGTAATAGAGACACAGCTTATATTCGGCATTGGCTCAAATATTTTAAACACTCAAAGGGATATATTATATATATTTTACACAGTTTATGTTGGCCAAAAAGCGCACACTGTTTGGCAAACAATTTTTGGTCGATTGCACTGCTGGGAAAAATATGCAAATATTTGGCGGAGCAGCGGAGATTTGTGGACTGTGTATAAGATTTTATTTTAATACCATAAAGTATTGCTTTAAAAATCATTCTCATAATAATATTGCATTGAATAAAACATTACTCGGCAAGACCCCAAACAGGGAAACAGAAAATATTGATAATGCTTCTTCAAAATTACAAATGAAAACCAACTATGTTGGTTTAATAAAACTTTATTGTTGTTATAGTCTGAGTGTTATACATTTTAGGAAAGTATTTACAATTTAAGTGAACTTTAAGGGCTCTCGTTCTCCAGTTAGTTGACTTCCTAAACCGATTTCAAAAGACAAACTTGCATACTTGGCTGCCAATAATATGCACGAGCATGTTCGAACTTCAATTTCATATGGCAGCCGCTCAAAGGCATTGCAAACAAGTGCCTTTCAGCACCTTTATTCATATGAGGATGAAAAAGGCAAACCGTCCTTTTGTTGGGGAAAGGAAGGTGAAGCTGCACCACAGGGCTTTGCTGGTACATGGGGTCGGGAATCTGCATTTGAAATTTTCCGGGGGCCAAAAAAGAAAACCAGAACTCTGACCGGAACCTGGACCTAGCATTATTAGATGTTTGGTTTTAACGCTTTCCCCGTGTTTGTTCTGTCCCTTTTCCAGGTCCACGCAGCAGCAGGGCACACGTCGGAGGCAGCAGCAGTCGGAGCGCCTCCAGAATGGCAGGGAGCGGAGCCGGAGGCCCAAGTCGGACGGAGTGCAGCATGCGGACAGCAGCATCATGGAGGACGATGTGAGTAGTGCACAGGGCTCTCCGTTATGATTGTCTCGCTCAATCAACGTCATTTCGGGGCTTACGTTTTAAATATGTTCCGGAAGCGTGTGGGAACGGACAGGGAGTGCCAGTTGTCCTTTCTGGGTTTACACAATTTCGTTGTGTATTGGATTTGCGGTGCGGTGCGGTCGCTCACATCCGCCCTTCGTTGTGTCAACATCTACGTAATTTGATAGTTTTTCCACTTGGCTTTTCCGATTTCGTTTGTGCTGCTTCATATCAGCAGAATAAACATGTATACCAACTGTTGGCATTTTAGATTTCTCGCCCTATGTCTCTTCTATCTTTTTCAACTGGCCAAACATATAATGTGCTTTAGATTGGCATTACGTATACGTACAGTTGCCTAGAACAAGAGGGAGGGAGAGGCGAGCATTTGGGCAGGGAAAAGTAAGCCAACAGACTCTCTACCCCTCCTTCCTGGGAAAATAACAATAGACGAGGCATGGGCCTTGGCTGAAATTGCCTGCTTTTGTCCTTGGTTAGGCGAGGGAAGTAATAGGGGTCCGAATATCCTTTCGGTTTTCCAGGTTTTCCAACCACACTACCTGGCCAAATTGCTGTTTGTCTGGTAACTGATTCAGGGTTCACGGCTACCCTTTCCGTAAGTCCCGTTGCGGTTATCCCATTCTCCGGTTGACAAGACAGCCAGAAATAAGCGTAAATGTCCTAATTGAGTCGTTGTCCATCTGGAAGGAATTGGGATATCCTGTAATGATATCCTGTGATGACCAGACAATACTATATACTTGAGTACAAGGTCTCACCAGGACCTTTTTAAAACATTAACTCTATACCCTCACATATACATCACACTCGTATCTACATAGCCATAACTTTATGGCAAAACATATTGCTAATAAATAACGTCACACTTAATAACTATTTCTGCCATATTTCTTTCTTAACCCACCCCGATATCCAATCCACCCGTGTGATCTGCGTGTGTATATCCTTCGAACGCAGCATTCGCAATTAGTGAAATCCCAGGACAGGGTTCCGCAGCCAGCGAGTGCCAGCAGTGGCGGCAGTCGGACCAGGACTCTGCTGGCCATGCCGTACTTCCAGGCTCTGCTCAGCCACCTCCAGGTGAGAGGGGCAGCGTCCTTCGTGGGCATGCCCTGCCTCGTTTTTTTCGACTCATTCGTTGGCACTTCCGGTGCTGCACTTATTTTCATTCGCCTATAAACACACAATCCGTTTGCAATTGCTTTTGCTCTTGATTTAAATTCTTTTCTTCCCTTGGCCTTGCCAGGGAATGGTTGCTCTCACTTCGTTTCGCAGTCTTGCATTCCTTCGATTTGTTTCGTTTGTTTTTTATTAATTTCGAGAGGATGCGCCATCAATTTTGCGTTGCATGCGTGTTGTGAGTGCACTCGAAAGGACAAAGCCAAAGGACTGCGCACGTAAATTGTGCAACGTGTTTATATTTGTCTTCGCTCCGATCGCACCTCTTGGCCAATTGAGCTGCCAAAAAAAGTATTGATTTAGAATATTCCGTCTCATTAGCTTTTCTTTTTGCATGATCCTTGGTTCAATTGTATGATTTGTAACCAATGAATTAGCTCTAGGCTGAAGGATAATATTTTCAAATATTCAAAGAAGCAACCAAGACCAGGACATATTATGCATGCTACCCGTGACAAGAATAACCTGAAAATTTGTCTTTCTTTTCACATATACGTATACACCAACGAAACCAACGTTTTTCTTTACTCTTCGGTTTGTTGCTCGGGCGACCTCTGAAATAATGACACCACACCAATGATAACATATCCAAATGTAACAAAATGGGGACCCATTTTGAAAACCCAAAAACGTATCGATTGCAACGTAGGTAAAACTTTCCAATGAAAACCACACCTTATGCCTGATTCCACTAAACATTAAACACCTTTTACCACTAACCCCGGGCGCGTAAACAGTTTTCCCGATGTGCTTGAACGAAAAGCAAAAAACCCTTCCCAGAGCACCGAAATTCATGTTGCGTAATATTTAATTAAAGCTGATGCGGAAAATTGGACTCTTCCTTATGGGATCTCCTCTCGCCCTCTGGCAACTTTTTGCGCGCCTGCCATCAAAGACATTCTTCGCCAAACTTTTTGTATGCATTTTGTACAATATGAAATAAGCAAACAATTGGCATTATGGGTAAAAAGAAGCTTCAGTTCAGGCCTCGCAAAGTTTTTGGCCAACAAAGTTGCATGCTGGCAAAGTGAAAAGCTGGAAAATTGGCACAAAATGCACAAAGAAATACTCTACGAAAAAAAAAACATATACATATATAAAATGTGCATATAAAATTAACTGCGGCTATTTTCAAACTTTCATTTGCGTGTGTATGTCAGCAAATAAGTGTTAAATTGGTTTATAAAGCTTGCAGGATTTCATTGTCATTAATTGTCATGCGCCGTCAACAAACTATTATGCTAAATAATACCCCAGAAAATATGCATGAAATATCTGTGAGAATTATTCAAATGAATTGCCGCATTTTTGGCAAGGATATCAAATTTCAAAAACTATTACATTTTCACAAGATTACTTGATCTAATCCAATTTCCGTTCACAAGCACTTGATTTATTTGACATTAAATGAGCATGCCTATTACATTTTATTTAAAGAATTTCTTTCATAATCATTTGATTAAATAATTAAATATTATAAATTCATATCTTTTGTGTAAGACAATGGTACTTACAATGACTTCTCATATAACATCATATCAATGACACAAGTTGTTCTGTTTTTTTTTTTAAATAATTATTCCGAATAATATCGCACCACTAATTTTTGTTTGTGTTTTGCATGTTTTATCAAATATATATATTGTATTAAAACATACAACATAACTAATAATTTTAACTGCAGCAAGCTCATCGTTGATCTGTTTGACGTTTGATATGCCGGCTGGGTAAGAGGTGAACGCATCAAATGCCAGGAAAAGTTTCCTCGGAAAATTATTTCGCTCACCAGCAAACAATTAGAAAGTACTTTTTTAACCTAATTTATTAATTGAAAAGTTTATTCTCTACCACGCGAGTTATCGCGAGAGTTTTCCATGAGCCTCGCTAACTTTTGCATACCCCACTTTCGCCACATAAAAGTTATATAAATACAGCCAAAAAATAGAACCAGACAACAATTTTTGGCTTTGAAAATTAGCTTTCAGTCAACGTCGTCGTAACTTAAATATACCTACACACCTGGTAGCACATATTTTACCACTTGTATTTGCATTTGAACAGCTCTTTTAGACAGACATTTTGTAAATTCTAAAAGTATATACTAAAAACAAACGGAAAATCGGACAAATATAGAGAAAGAGCTATCAAAATCGTCTGGATATGTGAATCAAAATCCTTCACGATATAACCCAATCGATTTTTAGCTTTTCATGGTTCTTTAATGGTTTTATCTTCAAAATCTTAGGGTGAAAATGTTCAGGTTAATTAAGACTTTATCATTACTGATAGATATTCATTTAAAATTTGTTTCAAAACTCTGTATTTCGAAACTAGTTTAACTCATGAAAAAACAGTAACAAATCTGTATCTTAAAATTTAAGTTAGATTCTTAAGCAGTATAGTATACTCATCGTAGGTTTCTTACTTTAATTTTTTTGTTTATATATTGGTTTAAACTATAGTTTAAGCCATACATTCTACTCTGCATTGCCCTGTGATACTGTCACTCTTTATTCGAATCCGAAACGGAAAAACGAATCTGGCAACAACAATCAGTAGACGTTCCACCGCCAAATGCAGATTAGGCAAAAATAATTTATGATGCCCAGCCAGGCAGCAGGATCCCAGGATATTCGAACCACACGGAGAGTTTTCAGTGCCGTTGAGTGCGGATGCAAATGGAGAAAGGGTTGTATTCGTGGCAGTGACACTTTGAACTGCATTTATCAAAGCTCCCCATAAGTATTTACAGGCTAAAAAACTATCAGGGGAATAAAAGCAGCCATTATGACTAATTTTGAAGAGCATTTTTGTCGCGAATACTCGTGGTGAGCCACTTAAAATATGCTGTGGTTTTAAAGCAAACAGACACACACGAGTCTGTGTGTTTGGCTGACAATTAAAACCACTCTGGCCGAAACTTTGCGGTGAATTGATTAACTCTTTACCGCCCACGCAGTCTCGCCTGGCAGCTCATAATTGTTAAAAATGATATACTATATAGGTATTTGCATTTAATTTACTTACTTAACAAAGTTGAGTCTCACAGCGTGATTTTGATTAGGAAGGATACAAAGCGAAGCCTTGTCTATTTTAAATATTATTTTAATTCCAACGGAGTAATTAATTCTATTCTATTCAGAATTTGTGTGCCTGAATTAATTCAATTTCAAGTACACAACTATGGGGAAAGACAAGTATACCAAGTATCTCCTACTTATTTGAAACTCATTTTATTTGCAATATAAAGTATTAACGGGAAACTCTTCTTAAGCAATTTGTTAAAGCATAGTCATCTCAAAATCGAGTTGGAGATAAGGAATTTCTTTACGGTCCCTAAATTAAGCTCTCCAAATAAGCCACTTCTCCAGGTTCTCCTTCAGATTAGACTTATTTTATCGTGGCAATGAACGTCAATTCCATTCAATATTGGCTCTGTCTTTTATTCACCATCCCTTGCAGATATCAATGAATGCAAATGCTGGCCATTTCATGTTTAATTGCATTGTTGCCTGCGGTGCGGGCTTCCGAGTCTGCTCATTAGCAGCTCTGTGATTCGGGGACTCCCCAGCATCCTCCTCCTCCGCCTCCTTCTGCTCCTCCCCCGCATCCAGTGGACTGTAAATTTGCAAGGCATTGGAATGGCACCTGAATCATTTTATTGATTAGCTCTCAGGGTACAAATTATTGCCTTGGCAGTATAATGCATTTCCATCAGGATCATAATCATTGAGCCGGGTTAGTTAGTTAGTTAGTTGGTTTTGTCTGGCTTCGGACTGAGCATTCTTAATTGGCTAAGTAACTGCAGGCCGGCTTTCTCTGCCTCTGTTTGGGCCAACACATACAATTTACGGCCTAGCATTTGGGCTATTAATAAAATTATTCCTGGGACGCATCCAATCAACAAATTTCGTTGGACTGGCCCTTCGTTTTGGTTTGGTTTTGGCTTGGCCCTGGCAGGTCAAAGTACGTTGATAAATTCCCAGAGACCAGAGACCAAGGACTGTGCCGCTGCAGCTGGTGGCCCATATTCGTCATGCGAGGCGTAAATGATTTAAAAACATGAAAAATGCGCTGGCTTTTAATTTTGATTGCAACTATTTATTAATAGCGAGCATTGGGGATGAGAGGAGGCAGGATGTGGCATGTGGAATACAGGATGCAGCAGCATCCGCTGGCTCCTGGCTCCGGGGCATGTTAGCTGCGCCCCACTTAGACTACGTGCCATTTGCTGGCATTCGCGGCATTCTTCACTCCTCTCTGTGGATGCTCTTATTTGTATTTATCCGCAAGTGGCGCCTATTGCTGCTAACATTTAACATAAACTTAAATTAAACGACACGCATTTCAGGCGGCAAACTGCACAGCTTGGTGGTTACTTTGTTTCTGCTCCTGTTTGGTTGGTTGTTTGGTTGGGTTTACGGTTCGCTTCAGTTCGGTTGGGTTTCCGTTCACTTCAGCTCCGGGTTACGCCGGGGTCTGTCTCCGGCAGCGTTGCAGCGTGGCAGCGTTTGCCTGTCAGGCGTGAGAATTTAACGATGTGCCTGGACCAATGTTAGCTTTTGAGTGCTGGGGCAGAGTTGCTAATGAGTCTGTGTTGCATAAAGGGGATGCAGCTACACATGAGTCGACTTGGTCGTCGAAACTACATCAGATAATTAACAGCTGAAGTCAGATATGGGTTATGTGCAAATAATGGGTAATTTGTAAAACTTCTACACAAAATTCATATCATTTATCTTTGTCTCAACTTGGGCCCTACCCATCTTATTAGTTACAGTTTTTCTATATCCATAGGTATTTTAACTTAGTACCTGCCGAGTATCTGTGTAACAGATAAACTGACAAATAAACCATTGCCACCCTCACAAATTGAGAATATCTATAGCTAAGCTCTACTATAGAATTCGGTAAAACAGTACAAATTTAAGTATGTTTATTTCGTTTGAATATGTTTTTGCAACTTTAAGCAAATTCGAATAACAAACTTGGAAGTTTATACACAATAAAACTCTTCTATTTCTATCCTACTCGCACTTAAACTCGCAAAAAGGGTATTTAGTCAAGTCTCGAACCATGGTTTCCAAATCGGGCCATAAATAATTTAATTTTATATATATATATATTTTTTTTACATTTATTTTTGAGTTATGTGAGTGTGCTCTCAACCAGAAATTGTCTGAATACATAATGGTACCAAAATTCCACAGCCCAGTCCAGTGCTTTATACATTTTATACTTTTACTACTGGTACATTTTTGGTAAAACCCTCCTTGAATTCAGTTTTAAGTTTTTGGTTTGACCAATATATCAAGATGAGTTACGCCACATCATTTTATTACACCTCAACATTTTATGCTGACTTTATGTTCTAGATGTGTTCGATCTGTGCTTGATCCTTGAATACTCAAAAATGGAAATTCATTCTATTTTTACGCTCTCGCTCGCAGAGAGTTGCCGGCTGCAATTCAAATGTTTAGGCGTTATGCATCTTGTTAGTAGTCTTTGGTTCTAAGGTAGTGTTTTGCTGTTCTTGTTCACATCTGAGTCTCAATGTAATGACCCAATGGCCAGACCAAACCTTTGGCCTATGTATGTATGTTTTTTTTTTCTACCCAACAAAACCGAATTACCATTACATTTTGAGACGATAATCTGGCAACTTTGCTGTGCCATTTGGGCCAATTGGGCGAAAAGCAAGGCGAGAACTTTGTGCTAATTACAGTTGCGCAAGCAGAACGCTCCACCGGCAGTCGGAGCCAAGCAGAGCTCCCCGGAATTCCAATCGCAGTCCCTGCACTCCTCTCCGAAATAGTGCAATATTGACAAGGGCCAGCAGCAACAGCAGAACAGCAACAGCAATGGCAATAAATGGCAGTGGGAGTCAGAGTCGGATTCCGGGGGTGGCGTCACTGTCATTGTCACCCCTCGGCTCTTGTTGGCCAACAAATGGGGAGGAGTGAGGGGGAGGGTGTCCGCAAATAAAAGCGCAGCAGATGCAGCAGCCATCAGGAGCAGCAACAACAATGGCAACGAAAACAGCAGCAAGAGCAGAAACTATGCAGGCGCATTTGTCGCTTTCAAGTGGCACTTGGGAAATCATCTTTGTGTGTGCGCCTCCGACTGCCAGGAGCAGGACGAACTCGCCAATCCTCCTACTGCCCCATCGGCTCTGGGCAGCTGTAAATGCAAACGGGCAGAGCAATGACGTCGACATTGGCAAGACCATGACGTTGTTTGACAATAAGTTCGAATGCAACTGGAGGGGCAGGGAGCGGAGATGGGTTCACATGGCAAAGGCAATTTGGGTTATTTTGTGGAAATCATGAAATCATGGGACTTTACGATATTCGAACTCGTTTATAGATTGTACGAATGGAGGCCACAACCGGAACCATATTTGGTTTTTATCGATTTATCCAATCATGTTTGGTTTATATTAACTATCAAAATACCTTCTCTCTTAGTAATTATTATGATTAAAAACAAATACAGTTAAGAGTGAGTTCCATCAGTGTCAGGTCCACGTTGCTCCCCCAGGGGTTCTCTCACACCAACTAGTCCGGATTGGATGGGTCAAACCGACTTACTGGCTGGCTACGAAAAACCCACAGCTATGTGCATTTGGTAGTCAAATATTCGAAACTCGCAGATAGAGGGGAAATTAGAGAGCGGATGTGGATGTGGATGCGGATGAGGATGTGGAGGTGGTGTTCGGAAAGGGCTGTGCAAGGGAGGTTCGGTGGCTAATCGGATTTCGGAGTCCGTACTCAGTCAACGTGAAGCAATTGATGAGGCCAATTCAAGTGTGCATGCATGAAACACCCCACCTAAATTTGCACTTTTGTATGTATGTGCACATACGTATGTATGTGTGGATGTGTGTAAATGTGCCGGGCACACTCGGCACAAGATCGATGCGATGGTCGTTACGAAAGCGGAAGCGGAACTGCGACTAAAGTTTGGCATGGCATATCGAACAACAAACAATCACGACTGGCTTGCGGACTGGGCCCTTTTGGCCCAGATATGGATGGAGATGTGCATTTGCAAGCAGTGCAACTAACCCTATTCCCGTCCACAGTTCCTATGGCCGCTGCAGCGCTTCAAGGACTCTCGTGGCCAGCATTTACTCCGCGGCGAGGCGGTCAAGTACGGCCTCGACTCGGAAGCCGCCCACTTCGAGCAGGACGAGCCGATGCGTGCGATGGCCAAAGAGCTGCACACCGAGGCGGGTCCCATTCGCACGGCCTCCGAGTCGATGGGGGTCAAGGCAGTGGACGCAGGCCAGGACCCGGACATGGAAATCTTGCCTCACATGCCCCACGCACGATGGGAAATCGCAGCGGCCACCACAACAACGGCGATGCCGGCCCTCGAGAGCGCCGATTACGTCTACAAATGGCAGTTGGGCAAATGGTCCAAGTGCTCGCAGGACTGCGGAGCAGATGGCAGCGGCTTGCAGGTGAGTAAGGAGCTTGGGTCAAGGCCAAGTGGGAACTTCTGGGGCAATGCATTATAACCCATTATGTCATCAGTACAACTGACGAATCAAATATTCTTAGAATACCAAAATTATGTATTCTCGAACCCCGTAACCGCCACCCAGTTTAGTCATGCGACTCGCAACTCTTAAAGGCTGTTGAATATTTCAACTGATTCAGAAACCCCAAAGCTTCGCTTCTTCGCTTTTGTCCCAGAAGCAAACAGAACGCCATAAAAAGAAACGAGAAATGTGTCCCAAAGCAGCCAGCGACATTTATGCAATAATTAGCCAAGTGCACAGGGCAGAAGTCCCGGACCCTGCTCCACTGGCTCCATAAAATCAGGAGCAATATTAAATAATTGAACAGGCAGAGGGGCCTTAGCGCTGGTTATTTAATGCATTGGTTGGTCCGGTAAAATCAAGGAAATGTACTCATCTCCCCCTCTTCTCCCCAAGCGACGCACTCTGGGCTGCCGGAGAGCTGCGGCAAGGGCCGGGAACTCCAGCGCGGAGCAGGTCGTGGATAATTCAGAGTGCACCGCCCACGGGCTGGAGCAGCCCCAGACGTTCCGGAGCTGCGGCAACGAGCCCTGTCCGCAGTGGACCAAGGGCGAGTGGTCGCTCTGCCAGCAGTCCCGCTGCCACGGCAGGAACACGGCCGTGCAGCGCCGCGAGGTGTCCTGCCGGCACGAGAACGGGACGGCGGGAAGTGCCTGCGACGAGTACGAGCGTCCGGCCATGCGCCAGGAGTGCTACAACGAGCGCTGCAAGGGCGTGTGGCGTGTGGAGCCCTGGTCAGAGGTGAGTCCCACAACGCTTCTTAGGTGTCCTACACTGATACTCACCTAAAAACCCCCTTTCTTCCGCCCGCAGTGCAACGCTCCGTGCGGCCGACAGGGTATCAAGTATCGCATCCTGCAGTGCGTCTGGTACGGGAGTCGCCGGCCGGCGGGCAATGTGTGCAAACACCAGCCCCGACCGGCGGTCATGAAAATCTGCAAAAGTCCGTCCTGCCAGACCAAAAGTAAGTATCGATGATTACACTTCGATACTCAATGGAATGAAATTAAATGTAATATCATCTCCAGTGTCGTCCTCGATGCATTGTCGCGACTCGTCGCGTTACTGCCGGAATGCGCTTGCCATGGGCCTGTGCCGACTTCATCGCTACAAGGAGAAGTGCTGCGGATCCTGTCAGCAGCCACAGAACGATAAATATATTACCCATTAGCTCCGAATAAGCGGGCCATCTAATTATCGAACTCTGCAAGCAATTACTCTAAGTACCGTAAATATTGACAACTATAGCAAGATATAAAGTTAAACTTATCCATATTTATGTATTTCGAGCAGAGCCCTCACAATAGCACTAGTTCTAGTTTATTTTCGTACCGAGTCTAGGAAAAACATAGGTAAATATATTTCGGTTTTATTTTCAAATGTTTTGCGCAATCAACAGAAAGAGCCTAATTTACGTTCATTGTTCGCAACCCGGCGGGAAAGAATTATAATATTACCATTTATATCTAAAGTAAGCGTAAAATATTGTTAGATCTGCCCTAGGCAAGTGTCCTCTGGCAAATCATTGGGCTTCAGAATTTGTAAAGCGAACTGGTCGTCGGTGGCAGCAGATTTGCTTTAAGCAATTAAATCCCTAAACATGAATGGGCTCGTAACGTACTAAACCCTATCGGGTTAGACTAAGTTTCTAGGCCACAATCCTCGTAGTACATTCGTGTATTAATGCAAGTCGATTTGCATGGCGCCACCTTATATAGTGTATGCGAGGGATCTCGAGTGTGAAGCCATCAGAGTGATTCAATTCATTGCTGATTCATCTGGCCCACTCGAAGTAGTTGAAATGTTTAGCCAATAACTCAGATTAATATTAAACACTAACGAATACGCTGAATCGGTAAGGCCATGATGCATGCATTTAGCTTTTAAGAGCGACAAGAAATCCGCACTGTTACCTAAATCGAATAAACCCTGATTATGAAAACGTGTAAATATTACAGCTAATGAGAGGTACTGCAACTCTATGGATATGCACATATGACTTATGTATGTCAATTTATGCCACTGAATTTCCCTTCGTTCAAAATTGATCAATTCGCCACTAAGAATATTGTAAATAATTCGAATCAGCACTAAATCGAGAATTTATTTAAAGGCTTACTATGTAATTTAAACAAAAGATGAACTATATTGCATACATGCATATGTGCGCCTATTTGTAATTAGTTTTTTATGAATAAATTGTTTTGTAAACCCCAACATAGCAAATAATTAAATGATAATTAAACGCAGCATGTTAGCTGATACTTAGCTAAACTATAAATATACATAAAACATGAATTCAATTAACACGGGGAGAATCTCCTGAATGTTAAGAGCATACATGAATATATTAATGAGCTGTTAAGGACAACGTAATAACGGTACACATATATAAAAAGCGACGCAGCCATAACCAATGTTAAATACATACAGACACGAACAGACATGTTATCACTCTCTCACAACCCCCCTCCCCATTCACTCCAATACTAACGTACTGCAAGGATATGGGCTATGACGCTGCATAGTCAATCCGAAATATTGTAAGAATTTAAAAGAATTGTGGAATAAATAACTAATATTGAGAAAGTTGAGTTATTTCATTAAAGCTAGAACCTGGGAGGAAACGAATGGATGTTGGAGAGAGAAACTCGATGTAAACGTAAATATATACTATTTTATATATTTACTTAATATATTTGGTTTGTGCATTAACAAATTTACCGATTTACAAATTTGCCTTTAAGCAAACATTTTTTGCTTCGATTGATTTAAAGGTATCATAAGTCTAAGTTTGACTACACATTTTACATATTCCTGATCAGCATCAGCAGCAAAGTCAATGTCGTCCGTTTTTCAGTCTTTCTGTCAGTATCTAAGCAAACTAGTCTCTTTAGAGCAATCTATTGCAGATTGTTTAAAAGTCCAAACCAAACGGATTGTATGTCTATAGTTCAGTTATCATTCAACATACATATGTATGTATGTGTTAATCTGAGATATGCTTACTTTTAACGAATTTAAAATAATTATTTTAATATTTATTATAATCAAAGGTTGTCGGCACTAAGTTGCAAGTATTTATGTATACCAATAATTGTTAATTTTCCCACGCCACTTGCTGTCATACACCTCCACACCATAATGTTGCTTCCTCCATTCTTTACGTTGACAACTTAATTTTCTTTATTAACGACTTCTCCGGTTCTTCTCTAGACCAAGACTATGTCCTTGATTCCAAATATGCAGAGTTTGCTTTCATCGGATAATATTACCTTATTCCAGAAATCTGGGTGCTTGGTAATGTGCATATTTGCGGAGGACAGTATCGTTAGAAACAGTTTTGGGAAATTCTCTGTTATGGACCAAGGTATCTATATACCAATTTTGGTAGACCATTTCCAAGAAAGTCCTGTAAAATAAGGGTTGGAACATGAATATTGGTTTCAAGATGACAATGATCCGAAGCACACGGCACACAATACAAAGCTTTACTTTCTATTGAAAGTTAAAAATCAGTCTCGAATACCTCCACAGAGTCCAGATCTTAGCCCAATTTAGCATTTGTGGCATTTCTTGGAGCGGAAGATCCGGAAACATACAATAACGTCGAAAAAAATGCTTAAGGATATCATCTCTTGGACGTTGATGCACTAAGGTCAGTACATTCAAGTGGCCCGTATGACACCAGACACGTGCCTGTTAGGGTTAGGTGTTAGTAGGCGCGATGGAAAATATAGGACAGAATACGAGGAAAATTGACTACCGGCGTGCTGCCAGATTGTTAGCTTGCATGCTTACTAAGTGTGTTAGTATTAAAGATTTTAATTTGGGAAGGGAATCTACGTTAGAGATTAGTGTGTACAAATCATTATAATTTGCACATAACACTCTAAAAGGTTCATGCAGTTCAAAGGAGGTCCTACAGTGGCGCAACACTAATGGGATATAGGATCTAGTGGTTCTACATGGTACATGGAAATTAAGCTGACTCAACAAGTCAGCACTTTCCACATCACCATGGATAAGGTTAAAAATAAAGGTTATCTCTAGCATCGTTCTACGATTGGCTAAGGACGGCAAGTTTATTAAAAGGAGTCTACTAGAGTAGGAAGGTAATCTTTGGTTTGCATCCCAATTTAAACCGCGTAGAGCGAAAAGTAAAAAGTTCTTTTGAACCGACTCAATGCGTTTACTATGGACGCCGTACTGAGGGCTCCAAACGCAGCATCCATATTCTAGGATAGGACAAACTAAGGAAGTATATAAGGATTTAGTAACATAGGGGTCATTGAATTCCTTCGACCACCGTTTAATAAATCCAAGCACACCCCTGGCTCTATTCACCATAGACGAAATATGATCAATAAAGTCAAGTTTTGGGTCCAAGCGGACGCCCAAATCGTCAACTGTATTAATTCTTTCCAAAGAGCAGCCGTTCAGCGTGTAAGTAGCAAGCTTAGGAGCGACACGAGAGAATGTCATTAGCTTGCATTTTGAGTCATTTAAGTTTAATAAGTTTACACGGCACCAAGTTTGAAAATTATTAAGATCTGTTTGTAAATCCGTAAATTGTAAAGTGTATATATTCTTGATCATCATAAACAGCCGAGTTTATTTAGCCATATCCGTCTTTCCGTTTTTAGGCAAACTATGCAGTAATTTCACTTGTAAACGGTCCGGAGCGGACGCCTTCATCATATAGCTACCATATAAACTATCAGAAAATTACAAAAAAAAAAAATTATAACTTTTTTATAACATATAATTTTAGATATATGTAGCCATTTTGTATTATTTTAGAACCGTTGTTTTAATTTTATGGAAATCGGACTAATACACCGAATACTGCCAAAGGAACGTTTGGGAAATAAATACAGTAAAAATTATAACTTCGTTGTTTTTTTTCAACATAATTTCATCTCCTCTGAAATACGATTTTGTATTTTTTAATTTGGTTTTAATTTTATGAAAATCGAACGACAATATCATATAGCTGCCTTACAAACGAAAGTTAGATATAGAGATAAATTCAACACTGTGACTGTAAAACTGTAAATTTAAAAAGTATAGGGGAATATAATGAAAATATGCATTACTTGTTATACCCTTGCAGGGTATTATAATTTCAGTCAGAAGTTTGCAAAGCAGTGCAGGAGGCACCTCCGACTATATAAAGTATATATATTCTTGATCAGGATCAACAGCCGAGTCGATCTAGCCATGTCCGTCTGTCCTTCTGTCCGTCTGTCCGTTTCTACGCAAACTAGTCCCTCAGTTCTAAAGCTATCTGAATGAAACTTTGTAGTTAGCCTTCTATATAGTCTCACTCGTATATATGTCGGAACGGGCCGGATCGGACGACTATATCATATAGCTGCCATAGGAATGATCAGAAAATTTTTACAAAAATTTGTTTAACATTTTCAGTTTTCAACAGAATTGGTTGAATATAGGCATTTTATTATACTCTACAATTTTGTGTAAAATTTTATGAAAATCGGACTATTATATCATATAGCTCCCATAGTAACGGTCGGAAAATTAATACAATTAAATTTATAACTTTTTCAGTTTTCAACAGATTTTCATCAAATTTGAGGTATAGCCATTTTTTATAAGTCTCAAATTTTGTGTCAAATTTAATGAAAATCGGACAACTATATCATATAACTAAATATATCATATAGGTGCCATACAAACGATCGTTTGATGTAGAAGAAAAATGCAATCTGTGAATGTAAAGCTGCAAATATAATATGTAAAGGTAAATGAAATGAAACCAGGTATTACTTCGTTGTTTTTAACACAAATATATATAATTTATATTGCATGGATTCCTAGTCATTGAAGTATTAATAATTTTCAAACTTGGTGCCGTGTAAACTTATTAAACTTAAATGACTCGAAATGTAAGCTAATGACATTCTCTCGTGTCGCTCCTAAGCTTGCTACTTACACGCTGAACGGCTGCTCTTTGGAAAGAATTAATACAGTTGACGATTTGGGCGTCCGCTTGGACCCAAAACTTGACTTTATTGATCATATTTCGTCTATGGTGAATAGAGCCAGGGGTGTGCTTGGATTTATTAAACGGTGGTCGAAGGAATTCAATGACCCCTATGTTACTAAATCCTTATATACTTCCTTAGTTTGTCCTATCCTAGAATATGGATGCTGCGTTTGGAGCCCTCAGTACGGCGTCCATAGTAAACGCATTGAGTCGGTTCAAAAGAACTTTTTACTTTTCGCTCTACGCGGTTTAAATTGGGATGCAAACCAAAGATTACCTTCCTACTCTAGTAGACTCCTTTTAATAAACTTGCCGTCCTTAGCCAATCGTAGAACGATGCTAGAGATAACCTTTATTTTTAACCTTATCCATGGTGATGTGGAAAGTGCTGACTTGTTGAGTCAGCTTAATTTCCATGTACCATGTAGAACCACTAGATCCTATATCCCATTAGTGTTGCGCCACTGTAGGACCTCCTTTGAACTGCATGAACCTTTTAGAGTGTTATGTGCAAATTATAATGATTTGTACACACTAATCTCTAACGTAGATTTCCTTCCCAAATTAAAATCTTTAATACTAACACACTTAGTAAGCATGCAAGCTAACAATCTGGCAGCACGCCGGTAGTCAATTTTCCTCGTATTCTGTCCTATATTTTCCATCGCGCCTACTAAACCCTAACCCAAACAGGCACGTGCCTGGTGTCATACGGGCCACTTGTATGTACTGACCTTAGTGCATCAACGTCCAAACAGAAAAAATATTTATATGAATTTACGGTGGTTTTTTGTTTTCATTTATGAAAATATTTCCTAAATTTTAATTTGGTCTATTATAGAATACATCAAATGTCTCTATAAAAAAATACGAATACGGTGGATGAGACATGAGACGAAATAATGAAACTCACTTTGCTTTATTTTTACAGCCAACCATTTGCATAATAAGGTCAAAGTCTAAGTAGCAGTTATTAATCTTTTTTAATCACTGATAGTTCAGACTTTGGATCATATAGGTTTCACAGAAAAAATTCTTATATGTATATTTACATTCGAATTAAAAAGCATGGGTTCTTTTCTTGATATTCAATAAACTTTATTTAATTATTTGTATAAATGTTTATTTTTATATGCTAAAGCAATACAAAATTCTAAACTATAATTTACTGGCTTACGTTAATATTGTACAACAAGCTATCATCCCTCCATATGTACAAAATTGTTAATATTTTTTAGGTTTTGTAATGCTAAAACGCACATATTCACAGGCATACACACCAATTACCTACGCAATTCATTCACTGTCGCTAAAATTAATTATTATTCGTTAATTCTGTACGCACTGAATAAAGTAAACTTAGCGTATTTTGGAGTAGGGATATACGGAGTTGGCTAAATTATTGGTAATATTGCAAACATATTAAGAGGACTGCTGTGTTTACAAACAAATCTTAGGACAAGCAAATCCGCAATGGTTAAATGGTAAATGGCATTAAAGGTGCATGCGAAAAAGTTTATCTCTCAGTCTCGAAACAAAACCAGCCACATATGATCAGGGTGGGCGGAGCATCATACATACTCGTCAAGGCACGAAGGCTCGACATACAATTACAATATTAATATTTCAAACAACAGCATCTTATGGCTACCATAAGATAAACGCCGGCAATGATTTTTAGGAGTCAAAATTGCTTATTTACAGAGTGTTTTCTATATCAGCACTTAATTTTTTCTAAATTCTGTGTATGTAACTTTATCTCTGGCTGAAACATTTTGCAGTTGGCTGATTTCCTACTGTTTAAACTAACAAAATCCCTCAAGAGAAGCATTTTTACAAAATTTTGTTCCATTGAACGCATTCGTTACATATAGCTGACGTTTTGCATAATAATAATAATCTTTGGCTGACTTTATACAAACAGAGTTTCGCCGCAAAACCGATATAATTTAAACGCATCTCTCTACAATGGGATCTGTTAATTTAATAGTTAAACTTTTACACATTTAAAATTGGATTCGTTGTTTTTCGAAATGTTTGGTGCAAACCTCTCACTGTAATTGGTCCAACAATAATTGCCAACCAACAATATTGAGCTGCTTTAGCTTAAATCAATTATGGGATATGTTTCATAGAACTAGGGATATATCTACATATAGAGTGGGGTGGGATATAACTTAGGTGGTAAGAAAAATGCTAAACACATATTCGTAGACTTTTACGTACAAATAAAACTAAACAATAATTTGCACTAATGAAAATGGTTTTATAAATGTATTTCCTATTGATGCAACTTGATGTTTTCATACCATATTATCGTTAATTCCTAATGTAAATAAATTATATATCACAACAATAGAGACAAAAGTTTATATGGTTCGAAGAGCGTCGGCGTGTGATGGCTCGTTTCGAGTCGATCAAACTGAATACTAGGACAACATTTTGGGCATGAGAAACCACACAGTTAACTAACTAGTTACAGGCATTGGTTTGACGGGGGGAAGTTCTCACAAACACATTGTTAGACTTATAATATCCGGGATGTATGTATAAATAGGAAGAGGGGGCAGCACACCACACACGCTTAGCAAAAGATTCACTGAGATCCGAGAGACAAAAGGGGGGCGCCGAGCCAGAGGTCCGTCCGCAATATTAACTCTTGCTTAGCGCCTTTTTCTTTCTTTGTACTAGGATGTCGTAGAAAGGATTATGGCTAATGGACTGCGTCAGTCGCTTGATCCACTCCTGTTGGTCCTCCTCCGTTGCGGCGGACATGCGGTACACAGTATGCTTGCCCTCCACCACCTACGTAGAGAAACGAAGACAATTATTAATCATACTCAAGTTAATGAAGAATAGACACCTACCTTGCCCTCGGAGTCAGTCTTGCAGGCCTTGATTATGTCAGCTCCCCCGGTTGCAAACAATTCAAAGCAATGCGGTTTGCTCCGATCGTGAATCTCCCGCACCGATATATTCTCCAAAGGTATAATGCCGCGTGGCTCCTTGTCGGTGGTGTATTCAAAGTAGTACAGGCAATTGTCATTCAAAATGAACCAGCGTCGCTTCCACGATTTGTATCTTTGGTAGGAATTATCCAAAAAATGTATTAGCTTGGAGAACCGGCAAATAAATACTAACGACTCACCTGCCGCCTTGCTTCCATAGCCAGCCCTCCTTGTCGGGATTGAAGAAGGTGTGCATCAGATCATTGCCATCGTCCTGGGGTATTTTGAATGGCTCTGTTCGAATGGACTCGTAGAGGGACTCCAACAGGCCCCGTGGCAAGTCGCCGCCGTTGTTGATGCCACGATTCATCGAGATAAATTGCTCAACGGTTGGCTTGTCTTTGACCTTTGAAATTAAATTACAATGGTTTGTATTAGCTATTAATTGAGATTCGAAAAATTATCATTACTCACCGATGGGTTGTGCAGAGAAGTATTGAGCATTATAATAGCAAAGCTGAGCACATAGCAGGTATCCGTGTTTGTGAATATATCCGGATTGAGTTGGCAATATCGCTGGGCGAAGCACTCCATCATGCGATCGATCTTTTGCGCCTCGCCCGGCAACCGAAACGACCAAAGGAATTGTCTGTGAAGAGAGTAGGATATTAGTGAGAAGGATGCCATTTACTGCCGGTAAATGAGGTGCGATTGTCTACGACGACTCACCTTAAGGCTTGCACTAAAATGAGATTTGTAAAGTCGTGGAGCGCCACAAAGGCTTTCAGGACATCCTCGTTGAAATCGTTCTTTTCGCCGAGGTAATCGCCTGGAAAGGAAAATAGTCATTAGTATCTTTTCTTTTTGTGCTGTGCCTTTAATTGATTTTTTCTGTTTTCGATTCGCTTATGAAAAGGCCATTAAAGGAAGGCCACTGTAATCTGGATTCGCACTCACCTATGGCCGTCTTATTCAGGCCCTCGCCTTTGTAAAGGAAATGCGCCACATCCTGGGGATCGTGACGAAGCAGTCTGTTCTCTACCAAATACTCGATGCCTGAAATATATTGAGGGGGAGAAGGTTAGACAGAGGAAGAATATTCAGCAGCATATTCAGCTTATCCCACCCAGACCACATTGACTTTGAAATCGATAAGGAATGTTCCCGGAGAAGCAAGCCAAAACGGAGACATTGTATAATACAAGTGCTCATGAATGGTTGCATTCAGAGCCAGAGACCCTTGGTATACCAATCTCAATAAAGATGAAATAAGGAAATATTAAGGATAGATAGAAGGCGGAATTCCCCATAAAAACGATGTCATTATTTGCCAATCAATGGGCGTGGCAATATGGCATTGATAAAGTCTAGAAAATAACGTGCCTTGTAGAATAAGATGCATGTAGCATTATATAATTTAGGTAAACAGGAAACAAAACGTCTGAGACATTGTACAAAAAGTATAGTATAATTTGAACTATAAATCAATATAACCTCAAACAGTACAAGTAATAATATATAACATTGGCCCCGATTGGTTGAGACCCCTTGACCCAAGAAATCCGGCCCTGTTTTCCTCAAATCCAAGAAAGTTTTGCGTGACTTTGGGAGCAGCACGCGCGATTAACTACAACACCATTTCGTCGACCATTCCTCCCCAAATACCACCTCCAATTCTGGACATTGTTTGTGCGCTATGGATGGCACATTTGTGTGCTATTAACTTAACGGCCTGGTGTGGGTTTTTGGTTTGCGTTTATTTCTGATAATCGGCCGATAAAGCGACAAATGGTGATGACACCACCGCCACTACTGCCAGCAGGACCACTCCTGCCATCCTGTGGCACATACTGGCGTGTGGAACTTTTTTAATAAGCGGCGTGCAACAGAACGTACAGACTCCGGGACTCGATTTCGCTTTTGTTATTCCCAACACCATGGCCCAGAGACAGCACCAACTATACATACATATGTATGGATATGCCTCCCTATTCGGATTAGCATTTTTATTGTGCGCCCTCTTTTTAGCCAGAGTGCTCGGCAGGATGCTGATGTCTTTTGTGAGAGACTGCTTGGCCTAATTTAGACTTGTCGACGTCAATTTATGGCCAAATAAGAGCTTGACGTAAATATTTGATTAGCTTTAAACGGGGGCGTCGCGGGGATATGGAGATGCTTCAGGCACGAAAAACACGGAAAACATGGTGACACGTATATCTCACCCAAATTCTCAGAATTTATATGGAAATTTTTGAGCACTTTTGGAGAATAAAAACGAAAATGTCGAATTATTTAGGTTTCTATAAACTACCAAGTGGACCAAATTAACACGAAACTATAGGTAAATGTTTTCAAACCTAATTTAATTCTATATATTAATTCGAGAGCATTGAGTGAAGTTTAACGAACACTGATTTAGAAAAGAGCGTTTAATGAACATAAACCCACACACAAATTTTAAAATTAGCCCAAGATATATTCAAATTGAAACAGAAAGTGAAAATTAAGCTTACACTGCAACAAACTGTGTGAACAGTAATTCGTTTTTGTACTATTTTGTATTTCCAAAACAGCATACAAAGTTTTGGTCTAAAAAGTAATTTGTAATTTGTTTCACCTTTCAACATAATTGTAGTTAACAATATTGTTTTTGTCTTTTGATCTCATTATCATCACAAAGCTCACAAAAAGTAATGGTAATGATAGTACTATAAAGTATCCCGATAGCAAAACTTAATTTACCAATCAAAAGGTATCTTGGTATGTTGGCTTTTGCTAAAAATCTTATATCTTATCTGGATCTTCATGTTGTACATTTCTTATTATTAAGTTAACGTCAAAGTCGTCATTGTGGGAACGCCCTTTCCCTCGGTATTTTTATGATAATTTCGTTTATCGACGCGAGAGCACGATTCAAGGCTCCGTGGAGCTTTAGTTTTTGAATTTTTCCCGGCGCCACACCATTTCTGTCCTCCTGTCACTCATCAGCTCAATTATAAAGCATTTTGACTGACTTCATTGTCGGTTTTGTTGGGGTGTTGCCCCGCCGCCATTATTGAGAATGTATTAAAATAATCGCGAGTCGGTAAAGTTTAACATTTTTACGACATTTCGAGACACTCCCTTTCTTCCTGACTGTCAAATAAGCTCTCGCGTGTGGCAGGGATTTTCCCTCAATTCGTATGGGAAGAACCTCTTGAATTGCATTTACTCATTTGAATTTAAATTTAAATTCCCAGTGAATCATCTGGGAAATTAAATGCGCCAACGTATGCCACTAGAACATTTCATCCCCTTTAAAACATATATTGGGTTATTATAAATAGCTGCAACTCACCTTTCTTCGGATCCATATTGAACTTTTTCCGGCCAATAGACATCTGTTTGTCCTTATTGGAATGCTTGCAGTCTTCGGGCACGTCCAGCGCCTCCATTTCGGAGACAACCTCGCACAACTCATCTTTGATTTGCTAAAAAAATGAAATAAGAAACACAGAGGTCAATAAAAACTCATTGTATGCACAGCTGTAGAATCAAAAATAAACGCAGGAAGTGCTGGAGAGCAGCAATAAATGTATATTAATATGGAAATATGCATTTCGCAGTTTCGGGTCAAGTGACTGACTAGGCTTGTGAAATTTATAAATAACGAAAATCTCATAAATTCTAAACTCGAGTACAATTTGCATTTCCCCAGTGCCGTGCGTTGATTCCACTCTCGGACTGGCGCCACACGCGCTCTGACAACGACGACCTCAACTCGCTCGACACTATTTCCGAACATTTGTCCGCTTTCCAGAGCTAAAAATACGAAAATTGAGAAAATAAAGCATAGCACTCAATGCAGTGATGATTTAATTAAATTAGGGAAATACCTGACACTGAACCGGAGACATCGCCGGTGGTTCTATTCAACAAAAAGCAACATAACACAAGGGTCATTCGAAAGAAATATAAAGTAAAGTGACAATTTACTTTGATGCCTAAAGATGCGGAAAGTGTATCGAAGATAAGTACATATGTATCTTACAGCTACTACTGAGTTGAGTTGACGCATGAATGGCTAGAGCCACGGGACCGGAACATATCAATTGCCCCTACTCGTCGTTCGCAGACCAGGCCCAATGAGTGAGCGACCTTCTGACTCATTGGACGGGCACGCAGAGCATCTGAATCCGAAGGGAGAAGAAATGTTAATTAAGCGTCATAAAATACAATTGACAAATTCCTCAAGTGCCTGTAATATGTTATAGACTCAACGCACATATGCATCTGCAGTGAGGTCATCATCGTCGGGACCTTCAGCCGTGCCTATGAATTTGAAATTCTAACTGGAGACGGCGGAACTTATTCGCTGTCAATGTGAATTGTCTCTGTTGAGATTCGAACAGTGCCAAGATGTATAACTCACTAGCCGCTCAATGATTTCGAGGAATTTTAAAGCATGTCACAAAGAGAACTTCAATAACATGTTTGTTGAAATTTATTCTCCATCGTGCTATTTTTATCCAGTGATGAGGTTATTATTTATACTCGAGTCAAGAGTCGTTCCTAAAGCACCTTCATTTTAAAACCTTGCTTTCATTTTAAAACTCTTCAGGTAATTCTAAGGTCTACTTATCAATATTTTAAACTTCAATCAAAAGTAACTCAAAGATTAGGAATCCATAAATGCTCACAGAATACACAGATTGGAACACACCAACCAATTGAGAAACAGTGATTGTGAGGGAAACAAGGCATTAATGAGGCATATCATTTAAAAATAAACTTGAAGCCATGCTTTGATCCAACGAAAGGGGAAAAATAAGCAGAGAATCGAGGAATTCCCACAGAAGCAGCAACAAGTGTCGCGAGTGGAGAAAACCTGTTTCCGTTGTGATTTTATAACAATATTGAACCTAAAACTTAATGAGAAACGAATTAGTTTTTGATACGAAGGTGGATCAATGAATTAAAATTATTCTGAAAATTGTAAATGACACAGCCACACATATACAAAACCAGAATTCAATCGGACCTTGGATTTGGATTTACCGACTCCAAAAAAAAAACTAAGACTATTCTATCAAAATATTTTTTTTTAAATTTCCTTGATCAACCATTAATGAGTCAAATGATAGGGTGGAATGTCTGAAAATATCGATACTGGGATGATATTCGACCGGAAAGCGATATTTTAATGTTGCATTTATACAAATGTGCCACAAATCTATATTCTGTTATATATATCGGAACAAGATACAAATAAATGAAATGCATTTTTTTTATATTTAAAATTGTCTGACATCAAAGATTATGCAATTTTGGATATGATATCGATATCGATACACAACGCTAGGATAATTGGGTCTCACATCAGGGTCCACAAACTTGCTTTCTTTACATTCCCCATATTATCAAATATTGATTTGGTTTGACAACTTCCAATCCCAATTTCTCCTTTCCCCTGCATACCTTTCCCGGTCGCCGGAGGATCACATTACTCTCCCTCTGCTCCGCATTGCTGCGGTTTCGCTCGAGGAGTGTGCGACAACTCTCGCAGAGATTCGATTGCTGGCTACTCCGCTTGCTGCTGCCATTGCTGACATCATTGTTATTGTTATTATTGTTGATATGGCTGCTATTGTTGTTGTTTTTGTGCCGATTCTGGCTGAGCGAATTCCGCTCGGACTCGCTCTGCGAGTTGGAGCTGTCATCGATGAAGCGCAGATCGCCGGCATCAGGTGTCAGCGGTGAAGGTGAACTGAGTCCCGAGCTGGGATCCGAATCCAGTTGCAGGCCGGGGTTGTCCATTCCCATTACCCCGCTGCCCGTTTCCGTTTCCGTTTCTGTCTCGGTATCTAGCGTATCCAGCATGCAGCCCAAGGAGTTGGAGCGTGTTTTGCGCGGAGACCTTCTTCCGATGATCTCGCCCTTTTTATTTAGCAGTAGCTCCACAGGTCGGGACACAATCGTAGTTTTCGTCGTCGTTGTGGTAGTGGTGTGCTTGTACTCGACCCGTCTACTGAAGAGCTCCGTGTTGGCCTCATCGCAGGGCAGGCGCTGCACCTCGGTGACCTTGCGGGTCACGTCGCTACAGCTCACGGTTTCCGTGCTAAAGGTGGGGCTGGCTGGGGGAGGACTGTCCGGCGAGAGGTTCGTTACATTGTACGTGGCCACGCTGGTGTAGGGGGCCAGCGAGGGGGAGCGGGGCTTGGCGGGCGGCTTGTGCGTGATTTTGGGAGAGTCCAGCGGCAGCGTAGGAGCCTTGGGTTTGCTTGTCTCGCTGCCTTTCGTTAGGAGATTGCAAAAGCAGCGGGTGCAGACGCTGCTCAGGCTGCTCCCACTACTGCCATTGTCTAGCAGCCGATGGTGCTGATCGTCCTTACCTCCAGAGGATGGACCGATGTAGAATGTACTATTGCTCCGACTGTTCCGCGAACCCGCTATGGAGTACCCTATGCCCACGCCCACGTCCACCGCCCCGCTGCCCAACGCTGCCGTGGAGGAGAGGTCGAAGCAGCTCCTCTGCAACTGCTGCTTGCTGCCAAAACTGCCGCTGCCGCCCAGGCCGGCGGAGCTCTTCTTGTTCTTGGGCTGGCGGCGCAGGGAGGAGAACCAGTTGCTAATGCTGGGACGCTTCTGATGTAGGGACGCCATCCTGCTTGCTCCGATCTTCGGCTTTCGAGCCAATTGCTCACTTCCTGGGAAATACGTCTCACTCTTTGGTCCGTTCAGATCGGGATACTTATTCGTACCCGTCCATGGCGAGGTTCACTGAAATTGTAGAGGTCTTAGTTGTGGGGAATCGATCGATCTTTCAACTGCCACCTCTCTCTTGGGCCAGGCAATTTACAAGTACACTTTGACGGCGTCTTCGGCAACTCGAAAAGTAAAATACATAATTGCCGCTGTACGTGAAACCCTACAAGATGCGTAGCAGGAAGTGCCAGGACCAGGCAGGTCCTCAAAATTAAGTTTGTCTGCCGCGTCGCAACATTTTTCGGGTTTCCCATGCGCCAGCGGAACGGCGACACAAAACGAATTACGCTAATGGCATGCAGGTTAACAAGGTGACGGCGCGGCATTCCCTAATCCCAGGACATGCAGAAGCAACTGCGGCTACCGTAGGAAATATTCCTGCTTGTGTGATTTGTCGTTGAATCAACAGAGAACCCGCCGACCCACGACTTCTGTTTAGGATCAGAGTTTGGAAACGGTTGGTTTTCGGGCGGAGTCTGCTCCGGACGCACATCCTTACCTCTGCCTTGTCTTGTGATTTATTGTGATTTCTCTTACGTCCCTTTTGAACTTGGGGTCTAATGTTTGTCTTTCACATTATTTTCGTTGTTGCGGCAAAGCAGGAAGGAAGTCAGCACGATAAAGTTCGGGTATTGTTTCTGGGGAAACACCAGACGACAAAACCCTAGATGAGATTTCTGTTCACGATTTAAGGAAATCTTAAAATCTTAAGTTTCCCAAATTCTTATAGAAATGGATATTTTGGACACAGAAAAAGAGTAACAAAATCTTGAATGTTTTTAAGATACCTAAAAAAGTTTTCAATCGATAAGCATCTAATATGCAATGCTTGTCCAAACCACCAAGTCTAATAGAATTTGTCAACGAGAAGGACTTTCCGAATGTTCAAGGATATTGAAAGCCATAGATTATTATAAAATCTAGTCCCTAAATAACTTTCTTATGCAATTAAGGCCGCTGTATTTGAGTGAATACCTTTGACCCTTGCTTCTTTTATTTAGATTGACAAGCCGTCGCCAGTCTCTAATCAATGTCAAATTGTTGAGTTCGGAGACCTTTACTCTTTTCAAAACGGCCCCTTCTGGGACTTGGAATTCCCCGGGGGAGAGTACAGAAAAAGTGCCACAGTCTTGGCCTTGCCACGCCCAACCATTAGGCGATGCCAAATTAAGTCGTCGAAAGAGTTTTTGGCATCATCCTTTTTACGGGGCTACGTGATTGGATTGCACAAATGAGCCGAGAGAACATTCAAATGTATTGCATTCCCCCTCGGATCTCTATGTATGCGTTCCTTATATAAAATAGCCAAAGGCAGGAGGCAAGCACATAAAAAGGCAGTCAGTGCCAAGTTGACCAAGTTGAAAACACACAAAAACATTGAGGAAAAAGACAAACACAGGTAAGCAAGAGATGGAACGTTGAGGAAGGGAGGGGTGTAGACACACAGGTGAATGCCACACGGCTTGCACACGATACAGAAAACAACAAGAATAAAAATACCAAAGAAGGAAGACAAGTAAAATGAAATTAAATTTGTAAACAAACTATCAATCAACCTCAATGAAGCCGACACTCTCGCCACACAGCTCAGTCAAATGAGTAGAATACACACACAACCAGCAGCAGATCCCTCAGATACAGATTCAGATACAGATATAGGTACGGCCACCGAGCAGCTCAAGTGGCCCATCAAAGCTGTGTGATTGTGGGCAGGAAATGCGCTTTTCTTTAATACACCAAACTAATGGCGTGTAAGAGCTAGCCGTAACCCTGGCCTGCAAGTTACCAAAGGTCTTAGCCCATGATGAATGGCCAAAACAGGCTGGGAATGGGTACAAACAAGATTCCGACACACAGTAGCCAGCCACAAAACGGGGCGTGTCTGGCTCCATTTACTTTGACACTTTAATCTTTTACACTGTGCAACCAAACAAATAATTAAACGCAGACTTGGGCAACACCGTCTCCATTTAACCCTTTGGCAACTACTCATTGTGCGCCAGACGAAAACCAATTGGAAAATCTGGCTCATAAACAATGCCCTAGACCGAGATACAAACAATATAGAGGGAGATAATGCGGAAAGTCCCAGCTGCGCCTGCAGAGCCCTTTGTCCCCCATTGTCGACATCGTCTGGTCGGGCCGGAGTTTTCCCATAAGTGACTTTTACTTTTCCTCAGCAAAATGCAATTAAACGCAAGCTTGCTTTTCTCGCTCACTCTCAATTCGCGACACTTTTCCCTTCTTTTTGTCCCAGCATTAAATGTATCTGTGTTTTAGCTCGGGTCAATGGCTCTGGCTGAAAGGAAAGTGTGAACGCTTTGGCTCCCGACTGTTATTGATTGTCACTGTGTGTGTATGTAAAAAGGTTAAGAGGATTTTCTAAAAGACCTGCCTTTGTCAGACAAACGAAGTTAAATTAAAATAATATTATGGCAAAAACTACTCAATTCCCTTGTTGGGAAGTCTTCGAAAGCCCGGACCTATAATGGTACAGAAACTATTTCGCTAATGAGCAAAACTTGTCTAGTTTTATAGTTCGTTTAAAACAGAAACATCAATTTAACTAGTAAGAAAGCTACAGGTAGGTATGCTCAACTACATGATACCCTCTACCAAAAGCTTGCTTCCAGACAAGTCCGCTTTGCAAAGAAACATGCATGAACAAGATATACTTTGATCGAAACAGTGGTTCGAAACTCGACTAATAGAGATAGAAAAACTCTATTGATCTGTTAACCATCCAATTTTATTCAAATTTTAAAAGTAAATGTAACTTTATCTTATAGGACCACACATTACTCTACATTTTTATGATTTTTAGGGAAACAACCTCGATATGCTTGCACAAGATAAGCGAATTGTCACCAAATTGGGTAGCTCTCGCAATAATAATCTCTCAGATCCGTTTGTTTTGTACAAACAGACAGACAGACGGACATGGCATACAAATTGCCATATAAAACAAAAAAACTAAGGTTGCCGCTGCTGGTAACCTCGCCATATGTAGGATGTATGTTTTTTTCGTAAATTTAGCTTTTTACTTTGTTGCGTCATTTTGCTAAATCAAGAAAGATGCAAATTTGTGCCTAAACGAGAAGGGGTAAAAGTGTTCGCGTTAGTCTTTTTTTTTATGAGCATTTTGCACACATAAAAAGCTGAAATTGGGAGAGTGGAGATGAGAAGGAACGCAAACAGAAACAGAAACTAAACAATATAAAGGCGAAACAAATATGTAGATAATAATAAACAAACGCGGCTCGTCTGGCTGCCTTGGAATCCATAAACGGAACGAGCAATATCATTGCAATTACAGATGGAAATATTTATAATCGTAATATGTAGACTTTAAAGTCGTCATCATTGGGAGCATCTTTTTTTGCATTTGTTTAAACACAAAAAAATACATATCTTTCTCCTTTAATTTAAAATTCATTGTGGTTTTTAAACATGTTTGGATATTCATTTTAAAGATGCTGAATCGAGTATTTGAAGCACGTAAAGTTTAGAAAGGGCATTAAATTTCTACGATGCATATATTATACAAATTGGCAATGATTTCATCCCTTACTTCATGCTTTTAAGATATTTGTGCTGATTTATGTTTTAGAAAAATACTATTAGTAAGCAAAGAGATATTTGTAGATACTCTTGAGAAGCGGGTATTTTAAAGCCGTGGCACTCGACTAACAGAGCTCATTCTTGTTTTATTTATATAGATTTTTCTCATCAATCTCATTCTCCCCGCTACCGCCATAATTCTGTGGCCGGCGAACCATTAAAAACACAAGTTCGTTGGCCCACTTCAGCGGCAGCTCCACACAATCAACAATGTCCGCCAACAGAATGCCTAAAATAAATGTGTTTTTAATTAAATGCCTTTTCTTTTTCTAGTGAGAACAGAGGAGACGGTGGACAAAGGTAAGAACTGGAGATGCGGGTGCGCCAACTAGTGTACCTGGCTCTATCTCCCTGGGTTCTGGTCCCAACAATCAGTACGTGCTGGTTCTCAGTACTTTTTCTTTTCCTCTTTTTTGCTTAGCATATCCCACAATATGTTGGAATTCCGTCAGGGAAGGCGTGGATTATCCAATCCTATTAGGGATATATTGTAGCTATAACAGGCCACATGAGCGTTTACAAAAAATAAGAAATTTATACCTTTCTCACACATATTTACAAAAAAAAAGTTTGAAACACGCGCTCAGCATACTAAACGTGTGCGCCGCCCTCGCCCAACACACAGATACATAGATACTTTCTGTGTATCTGCAAAGTAGCAACAGGTGCACCTACATTTATGGCCGATCCAAACAACAACACAGCATTTACGTAGCTTGGTTTGTGTTTTTTTGTGTTTTTTTTTTTACTCCTGCCATTGTATATTTTACTGATGGCTATTGATTGGGTTTTCCGCCATTCTGTTTACTAGCATCAATTTGCTAATTGTCCCTTTCGCTTTCGGCCTCGATTTAGCCGGCTTATTGTTGTATCTGGCGGATAGGTGTTCTAGCTTTTAGTTTTGTGCACTCGCTGGAATTTCACACTGGAACTTGTTTTGGGCCAAGGTAAGAATGAGAGTATGTGGACCATGCACTGCAATATATTCAATATTCCCACACAAATTGATTGACAGTTGGCTAGTTGAATATAAATATTTGACTGATAGATTGATTGGAGCAGAATGACATGACGGAAGATTAAAGTCATTTGCATGGCCATGTGGAATATATTAAATTAAAATTCCCATATATTTTGGGGGACCAGAAACTCACTCGCAAAATATTTAAGTTAAACTTTGAGTTAAAATTACTAAAAAAAACCCTTATTAATTAGTAAGTTTCAAGATCTTAAGATTTTAATGAAGCTAAAACGAACCCCATATCCATATCTAGAGC